TCTGTACCGGGTGTCTCATTAAGAATAGCTCTCGGCTGTATCTCGGAAAGTATTAGCCGTAGGGCTTACGAAAAAAAAATATTTATAACTAAAGGGGCTATAAGAAATTGCTGGAAATTATTTTCAAGTTTTTAAAACGGCCGCTAGTGGGCGCAACTGCTATGGAAAATAAGAAAATAGAATTTTTACAGAATTTTGCCTAGATAATGGGTACTATAAATAATAGCTTCATAATCTTCAGTAAATTTTGGATTTTCTTTGTTAGAACCATTTTCCCCTATCTGCTAAAATAAAGTGGTGGGGGAAGGTTAGATCTATCATTATATAAATGTTAATAACTCCGGACTGGATGATCAGAATCCAACAAACGAGGGCTCGTTTAAAAGAGCGTTTCTTACTCTATATTATACCATAACATAGCGCGTTTTTTCAAAAAAATTAAATATGAGAGTATATGTAATTTAAGCTGATAGTAAAGAGTAGTAAAAGCTTAAACAGTCAGCAAAAACCGCATCTTTATATCTTCTTTCAAACCGAAGATATTAACATAATTATAATAAATACCAAAAAATAAGCCCTTAATTACCTTATTTTTACAATACGGTATCAGTATCCCTCTTGATTATGCCCATTCTAACAAAAAAATAAGATAGAAACAGTTAGTTTATTTTAAAATCGATGAAATACCAGAATACCATAATACCAGATGTATTAATATGTAATAACTAAGATATTAATAACAGTGAACAAGAAACGATATGATTCGGTGAAGTCATGGTAGGCTTTGGAAAAAAGTAGCTTTTCACGTAATAGTATAAACGTCAAATTGTTATTAGATCAACATTTTGATAGTCTTAGCCGCGTTTTTTATCTTTCAATTTCTTTTTTCAAAATATTTTCATTATTTGAAGTAGTTGAAATTGTTGGCAATTCGAAAAAGCAATCAAAAGATAAAAAAACGCTGCTAAAACTATCAAAATGTTGATCTAATAACAATTTGACGTTTATACTATTACGTGAAAAGCAACCTTTTTCCAAAGCCTACCATGACTTCACTGAATCATCGTTTCTTGTTCACTATTATTAATATCTTAATTATTAGATAATAATACCTCTGGTATTATGGTATTCTGGTATTTCGTCGATTTTTAAATAAATTAACTGTTTCTATCTTATTTTTTTTTGTTGGAATGGGCATAATCAAGAGGGCTACTGATACCGTGTTGTAAAAATAAGGTAATTAAGGGCTTACTTTTTGGTATTTATTATAATTTTGCTAATATCTTCAGTTTGAAAGAAGATATCAAGATGCGGTTTTCGCTGACTTTTTAAGCTTTTACTACTCTTTATTAACAGTTAAAATTACATATACTATTGCATTTAATTTTTTTGAAAAAACGCGCAATGTTTGTTAAATTGTAAGACAACGCCCCCTAGCGTCTACGTTCAAGAGCTTATTATTATTGTTTATATGATACAATATAGAGTAAGAAACGCTCTTTTAAACGAGCCCTCGCTTGTTGGGTTCCGATCATCCAGTCCAGAGTTATTAATATTTAAATAAAAACAGATCTAACCTTCCCCCACCACTTTATTTTGGTAGAGAGGGGAAAATGGCTCTAACAAAAAATATTCTAAATTTACTGAAGATTATGAAGCTATTACTTATAGTACACCTTATCTAGGTAGAATGGTGTAAAAACTCCATTTTCTTATTTTTTGTTGCAGTTGCACCCCCTAGCGGTCGTTCTACAAACTTGAAAATAATTTCCAGCAATTTCTCATAGCATCTTTAGTTATAAGTATTTTTTTCCGCAAACCCATACGGCTAATACTTTCCGAGATACAGCCGAGAGCTATTCTTAGTGGGACACCCTGTACAATCGTCGGTATCGGTAAGTTACGACAGCTCTCGGTACGTATTTGTATATAGTAAAAATGTGTTAATTGTTGGTTGTCATAGTTATCGATCGGCCCTATGACAGATATCGCAAATTTGTACCGACGAGGATCGATATCTCTACCGTGCCCTTGTTAACCCCACGGTAGAGATACCGATAGTCGTCGGTACAAATTTGTTATATGTCCTATTAATGACAGCTAAAACTATGACAACAATAATTAACACGACGCTCATTGGCCGTACGTACCGATAGATGTCGGTAACTTACCGACACCGACGATTGTACAGAATAGCGCTCCACAGTGTCAAGTCGTTTAAATTTCTTTAAATGTATATCAATGGTTCATTTAACAGAAATGTACAAAATAACAATTATACAGATTATTGTTTACTGAGTTGCTTATGCCATAGAAATATTTGAGGGATCATTTATAAAATAGAAATTGCAGTTTCATGACCTTGAACATGGCTGAATGCTTACATTGAAATTAGAGAAACAAAATTCACTGGTTTAAGAAGGTTGTAATTTGCAGTTAATTTCTATAATGAGTAAAAAGGATTTTTAAATGGTGTAGTTTAAAATTCGGGAAAAATATTTTTCTGGAAATGGATTATTCTTGTACAGGGTGAGTCTTAAATAAGTGCAAATATTTTAGGGGCAGTCAAAAATACGTTTAAATATATAATTTTCTCCATTAAATATTTTTATTTTATAACATTTAGGGTAGAATATTTTGCTCAGAAACACGATTATGAAGTTATTTCGCGAAAAATTTTTTTTGAAAATTCGGAATTTATTGAGAAAAAATTTGATTTTTTTTTAATTTTTAGTTAAAAATTGGGAAATATGGCAACATAGGTAGTAGATTAAATTTAGAAGAAAGAAAACCAAAATACATTCAGTGGTTCACAAAATTTAAGCAAAAAATTATTTTTTTTGGAAATTTTCAAAGTACCCCCAAAAGGGTACAAACATAGCGATGCATCCTACGAAACATTTGCGATGCATCCTACGTGCATTTACTAAAAACAGTGCTTAAAACGTGTGCGTAGGATGCATCGCGGCGAGCATCTCGCATCGGAATGCCCCACTATGTACGCTAACTAGGTTATTTTGGACTTATTTAAAAAACGGTAAAGAAAAAAAATGTTTCTTATATGGAGATCTACCAACCCTGAAAATATTTGCAACTTATTTAAGACTCAAACTGTATATTTGCATTATCTAAAGCATGAACTTTAGATTTATTGTTATTATAAATTATTGCAATTGTAAGACTTGGAAAATAAAGAAATTTTATCATTAATATTTAAATATTGGTTGGCTACGGATATGCCCATATCTTTTTGCTAAATATAACTATTCTAATTCAATCCTTTTTCTTTCGTAATTGAGACTCTATTTATCATTTTTAGTATTTTTATAAATGAAAATAAAAACATATACAGGGTGCTACTAATTCGAGGTACGAGCATTGGTATCTCGGTAACCGTAATAGATATGAACATGGTTAAATTGGGGCAAAGTTGCGCTTTTGGAGGTTCGCCAAGATGCCATCAAAAGTTTTAAAAATTTCAAGGATTGCTGAGTTTTTTGGAAGACGGATTTTTTTCAAAATGAATTTTATTTTTTCCTGTCGTTACTTTTAAGAAAATCAAAAAACTAATTGCGTATTCTCATAGCCACTTTATAAGGACTATCTGATGAGTATTTTTAGATTTTCAAATTAGCTGACAATTTATGAGATATAGAGGCCAACTTAATTTTTTTTTTGTTTTCGGTACCTTAACAACAACAAAATATTTAATTATTATTTAAAATAATTTCAAGTCCGACTCTGGTTTTTCAAATTACTTAATCTGATTATATTCATCGCAACAATATTGATCAGCGCTAATTAACATTGAATAAGGAAAATCGAGCCAATTGGAAGATTCAAATAAATTATATCTAGGCCAGCAATAAGATATTATTTTTAATTTTTTTTATTATGAATTTGAAATCTCAGTGTGCGATCTAACAATATGCGTAATATTAATCGTTGTTATTATAAATAAATCAACTTCTACAAACTAGTTTCTAATGTTCTACATGTTTGCAAGAGTTACCACCCTCCCTATTGCACAAATTTATTTTTAGTTCAATTTTATTTATAGCTCTTTGAACTTTCTTCTTATACTTCCGAATGCATTTTGTACTCTTTATTGTAAATGTTGAGATGTATTGATTTCACTTTTGCAAATGACGTGAATGTATTCATTTCTATATTATTTTTTGTTATTTTATTGCATTTGATTTTCCATATTCAATGTTTTACCCCACGCAACGATAAATAGATTAAATATTTAAAAAAAAACAGCCAGAGGGGACTGAAAATTTTTTTGAAATCAGTTTAAATAAATTGTGTTCAAATGTCCGAAACAAAAAAAAATATTAAGTGTGGCATATCATTGTACTCAGACTACTCAGGAGACCGAATTCTTTCAAAATCTGAAATAAAAAATGCAGGTCCGTATTTAAAAAAATTGAGTTGACCTCTGTATCTCAAAAATTGTCAGCTAATTTGAAAATCTAAAAATACTCTAAGATAGCCCTTATAAAGTGGCTATAAGAACGTGCAATTAGTTTTTTGATTTTCTTAAGTAACGACAAGAAAAAATAAAATTCATTTTCAAAAAAATCAGTTTTTTTCCAAAAAACTCAGCAATCCTTGAAATTTTTAAAACTTTTTTGATTGCATCTTGGTGAACATCCAAAAGCGCAACTTTCCCCAATTTAACTATGTTCGTATCTATTACGGTTCCCGAGAATGCTCGTCCCCAATGCTCGTACCTCGAATTTGTAGCACCCTGTATAGAAAAACGCATTTTCTGACAATAAACATCATCCACATAATTATAACGCATATTTTATAACTAACTAGTTCTGCAAGAAGACATAACTTATCATAAATCAAACTAAGAAATTATTTAAATTCGAACATGTCAAATAAATAAAATAACTGGTATGTGAAAAAAAGAATAAGAAAAGTAAAATTAATGTTACTAAGTTACTATATACGGCATATACATATCTGAGGCTAGAAATTAAACAAAAGTAGTTATAGAACTTTATTTAGGAAAGCATATAAACGATCATATAAAAGCTTTTATAAACAATATATAAAATAATCACTATACACTGACACCCAATAATATTAAGAAATAATATTTCCTAATATTTGCGTTGTCTAATAAATATTACTTTAAAAAGGTTATTGCAAATTTTAGGAGATAAATATTGTTCAATAACAAAAATATTTACTCTTGGTTGGCAGTATTTCTTCACTTCTTGAATTATAAAATGGTAAATCAAAAGATAAAAATACAGCATTATATTGTGTCATAATGACGATACTCTTAAAATATCACACTACTAAAAAGTTTTTACAATAGCTGATGTAACAATTCATACGTTTAAAATAATAAACAGTTTTTAGCATGGTACCCTAAGCATATCGTCATATTCCTTTATAACCAACTGGATTTTTTCGCATGCCATTTGTACATCTTCATCACTGATTTCCCAATAGAACGTGAACCTAATACAATCGTAATTTAGCGACATAGATCTAACACTGCACTTTACACTGTCTGTCTTTAAAACTGTCTGCAATCTGCGCTGAAGTTCTTTGATTTGAATCTTGTTGCGGTTGATGTACATCAGCAATATATTTGTTTGCACTGTGGCCAAGTCCACTCGGAAATTGTTCGAATGCATTGCGAAAATGGCTGGAAAAAATCATAAAATGGCATTTTATTTAATGGAAAACAACCATAGAGAGAATTAACTTTAAATTCATGCAATATGAGTCTAAAATGTATCCCTTACTTACCTTTTATTGTTGACGTGCATTTATATTAAGTATTTTTAATACTAACCCATCATACATATTCCGTGCATTCAGTTAAAAATATGGCTGTGGTCGCTTTAAAAATTATAAAAGCATAGTCACCAGTCTCCTTAGTTAGCGAATTAAATCATCCCAATTAATTTCATATCCAAGAATTGTCCAAAACACATAAATATTATAAAACTGTTCATTAAGAATGAATTATTATCTTACTTAACCTATTATATTGCTGATTAAACAAAGACACCCTTATACAGGGTGAGTTTCCTACGATGTTCTCTATGGGTATCTCGGAAACTACTGGAGATAGAAAGTCGGTTAAATGGGGAAAGAATTGCAGTTTTGTGGGGTCATAAATATGCGCCTTTCAGATTTTTGAAAAAGTTCATGGCTTACTAGATATTTCGAAAAAAACAAATTTCGGCTATTTTAAAAATTGTCCCTAATTCCATTATAAGCTATTTTAGACAAAAAGTTTTCAGATCAAAGTTGTAGATAATCACATCCTTAATGAGACTGTGCTCTCCGTTTTTTTCTAAAGCCTGTTATTTCTGACATATGACACAAACATAGGTTTTTTTTAAATGGAAACCATAGTTGGCCACGACTTCATAAAAAGCGCCATTTTTTAAGCTTTTTAGTGATATAAGCTATAATATCTTTTCTTCGAAAAATTACTGAGTTATAGCCAATTCTTATAATTTTAGACAATTTCACTTAGGTAGCCATGGAAACAAGTTCAATCGCCATTGCTCTCAGAAATGTGAAGCTATCACATCCAAACTTTGCAAATTAAAATAAACGAAAATTGTAAATATGAATTTTTAAAATGAAGAAAAGCGTGTAGATCGCGTGTGATCGCGCATCAATAGAGTGGTTCCAACATGACTTTCATTATGACACACCACCCCCCACCCCTCATAATAAAATAAATGTTAAAAATTATTTATGTATATATATATTTTTTTTCCTTTCTTGGGTATGAGGTTTTTTTTTATTAATTGAAAATGGAAACTTTTTTTTTATTATGCGACGTTTCGCCTCATCATGGTGGGCTTTCTCAGGCACTTTATTCTTGAAGCCGCAGCCGCCTTGCTACCACCAGTCTATATAGAAAATGAAAGAAAAAAAATAAACTCTTATTATTTATGTATATATCATAATTATACAAACGCAGGGATAGATAGAGGTGGACTAATTGCATGGGCCTCCTCGATCACCTGACCTATCCATTTTAGAATTTTTTATGCGGTATAGTTAACAATAAGGTTTACAAAGGAACTTATGAATTAAGAGAGGCACTCGAACTGGCGGTACGAGAGAAGTTTGATTAAGTCGACCGGTCCTTCTATGAGAATAGGTAATAATTCAGTTTTAAAAACATGCAACTCAAAACAATGGCGGATTTTTTGAACACTTTTTAAAATAACTTAAAGTGTATGTAGTGATATTATTTTTTTAAGTCTTAGTTTGTGTAATGTAAATTGTAAAGAACCGTTTAGTAATATATTCTGACTTTTTATAAGTTATAAATCATAACAGAATAAGAATACCATGCAATCTAAGTGAAATTAGCCAAGAAAGATAAGAATTGGCTATAACTAAATTTAACTTTTCTAACATGTCTTGAAAGCCGTTCTCTAAAAAAACGTAACATTCACCGGTCAACGTATCCTCGAAAATGTATGGTCAAGAAAAGTTGAACCAATAATCCTACACGCTTTTCTTCATTTGAAAAATTCATATTTACAATTTGTATTTATTTTAATTTGCAAAGTTTGGATGTGACAGCTTCACATTTATGAGAGCAAAGACGATTAAACTTGTTTCCATGGCTAACTAAGTGAAATTGTTTAAAAATGAGAAGAACTGGCTATAAGTCAGTAATTTTTCGAAGAAAACATATTATAGCTTATATCGCTGAAAAGCTTAAAAAATGGCGCTTTTTATGAAGCCATGGTCAACTATGGTTTCCATTTAAAAAAACCTATGTTTGTGTCATATGTCAAAAATGACAGGCTTTAGAAAAAAGCAGAGGATACAGTCTCATTAAGAATGTGATTATCTACAACTTTTATCTGAAAACTTTTTGTCTAAAATAGCTTATAATGGAATTAGGGACAATTTTTAAAATAGCCGAAATTTGTTTTTTTCAAAATATCTAGTAAGCCATGAACTTTTTCAAAAATCTGAAAGACGCATATTTATGATCCCACAAAACTGCAATTCTTTCCCCATTTAACCGACTCCCTATCTCCAGTAGTTTCCGAGATACCCATAGAGAATATCGTAGGAACTCACCCTGTATATATCAACTCGTTATTTTGTTAATATCAATTTATTGATGTTAGTAATTTTTTTAACTATGTACCACTATTTTGTTTAAAATTATGTTAGTATTTGCGTTTTTTATAAGCATTCATCCCAGCTATAATTTAAAATTTAATCTTAAAACTGATTTCTTTTAACTATTTTCAAGTACAAAGTATTCTGATGATATCCATTTTTCAAGTTACGAATATCGTATTACATATGAATTGTACAATGCGATAAAAAAAACGGCGTCAAGTTAACCATTTAATTTTGTATACGAAATAAAGCGATTGCCATTTCCACACCGACGCGCTCTTTTTTCGAGAACGTATTGTATATTATACACTATTCACGAAAAACATAGCAACAAATGCAATTATTTTTATTATTGAGTTATCTAAAAAAGTAACAGCTTAAAAGTTTTAAGCATATTATGATACTATGCTGAATTGGAGTTATTTCATCTGTGTGCATACATTATTTTATGTGAAAGCTAAATAATAAAAAATATATGTTTTCGAATTTTTTGCTGGCACTATAAGTTGGCAAAATGAATATTATTAAGTTTTAAAATATACAGTGGGCGTCCAAACACAGTGACATATGTATTTTTTTTTTATTTTAGGTTCTAGGTTTAGGTTACTCAGAAAATGTTATACTTCATAAAAATCTCCATTTTATAATGAGGGAGCTTCAAAAATACAAAATTTGCTCAAGAATAAAGTGATTTAATTTCTCAAAATATGTGAAAAAGTTACTTAAAAAGTTGTTGAGCATAAAAAGTAAATGTTATATATTATTATGCTACGGCTAAAATGGATACTTGGCTAATTTTCAAACTAGCCAGCTATTTTGCAAAAAGCGCTGTTATTTTGTTGGTTAGGTGTCAGTTTGTGGTGTTGGTTGTGTTGTTTGTTTGCAAAATAGCTGGCTAGTTTGAAAACTAGCCAAGTATCCATTTTAGCCGTAATATACCGGGTGCGTCTCAAAAGTGGCTCACCCTTATAACTTTTTTATTTTTTCAGATAAAATAACGAGATTTGGTATGTTAGTATATGAGATAAATTAGGATTGATTGATATTTTCAATTGTTTTCGGTCACTTCCTGTTTCACCGGAAATGACTACAACTTTTGATTTTTAAATGGCACCCTCGGTATTTTTTTACTTTATTCGATAGAAAATGACACTCTGAATTGAATGACATATCATATTATGTCAACTTTTGACATATTCGCTCAAAAACAATTTGTATTTTAAATTTCAATCTAGAGTGCCATAGCTGTGTTAAAAACACTAATTTTATTTTTAATCACGGAGCCTTGGAAAAATAGATTTGATCGTCTAATGTTTTTAGTGTCTTGTCCCTGGCCGGTTTAAAGTTACCCAAATCGTATTTTTAATAATATCTCAATCTTATGGAAGTGGCCGAAAACAATTAAATTTGTCTATCAATCCTAATTTATATCTTATACTAACATACCAAATCTCGTTGTTTTATCTGAAAAAATAAAAAAGTTATAGGGGGTGAGCACTTTTGAGACGCACCCGGTATATATTTGATACCACAGCCACAATATGAAATCATATTTTTAATTGTTTTTAATTTATATTTCTATTAGTAAAAATATGCTTAAACCCATTATATTTATCAAAAACAAATCATACAAAATTAACTTAAATGCGAGTGAAAAACTAAAATTAATGAGGTATAATACAGAGAAACCTAAATTAAAAAAATTACGTGTCTAAAATTCTTGGACACACCAAATAGGTTATTACACTATATCAGATTACTTCTTTATCACTTTTAATGCAGTAAGAATGAATTAATCCAATATTTTAAAGCTTAAAACTAGATTAAATCCAACTATTTTAACCCCAATTGTTACATCCCATTAATTAGCGTAATGATATACCTTTAGCTATTTGATAGGCATGATCGTGATCTTCCCGCAATCTGTCAATCATTTTGTCCAAAGCTACTAGTCCAGCAGCTGCAATAATGCCGGCCTGCCTCCAGCCACCGCCAATGGCTTTTCTTACTCTCCTTGCACTATAATTAAAAACAAAATTTTGCAGGTTAAAACCTAACATACCGGGTGCGGGTTACCCCTATAACTTTTTTATCTTTTTAGATAAAAAAAAAGCAAGATGTGGTATGTTAGTATATGACATAAATTAGGATTGATCGACGTATTCAATTGTTTTCGGTCACTTCCTGTTTCACCGGAAATGACTACAACTTTTGATTCTTAAATGGCACCCTCGGTATTTTTTTACTTTATTCGATAGAAAATGACACTCTAAATAGAGTGACATATCATATGTTGCCTTTTGACATTTTCGCTTAAAACAAAATTTTATTTTAAATTTCAATGTAGAGTGCCATGGCTGAGTTAAAAACACTAATTTTTAATCAAGGAAGCTTGGAAAAATAGGTTTGATCGTCTAATGTTTTTAGTGTCTTGTCCTGGTCGGTTAAAAGATGTCCAAGTCGTATTTTTAATCATATCTCAATGTTTTCAAATGAAACGAGAGTGGCTCATTAACATATTTGGAAAAGGCATTTTTTTACAAATAATTTGGTACCACACACTTGGTATTTCGAGTCAAAATGTAGTTATGAACAGCATCTTGCAATCTCAAATAAACCATACTCGAAAATGTCAAAAGTTGACATATATATGATATGTCGTTCTATTGAGAGTGTCATTTTCTATCGAATAAAGTAACAAAATACCGATGATGCCATTTTAAAATCAAAAGTTGTAGTCATTTCCGGTGAAACCAGGAAGTGACCGAAAACAATTGAATAAGACAATCAATCCTAATTTATGTCATATACTAACATACCTAATCTCGTATTTTTGTCTCAAAAAATAAAAAAGTTATAGGGGTGAGCCACTTTTGAGACGCACCCGGTATATAATATTGCGTAATTATTATGCGCGGCACTGCTTTAGTTGAGGAGGATTTCATCAGTAAAACATGAATGACGCGACAGGCTTTAGCTGTGTTCGAAATGCGACATTTTTTGCAGTAAATTTGGTGCTAAACTGCTAATGTCATAATCTACAATGAAATACCAAGAAGTTAAATACTATGCAATGGCTAATACCAAAGAAAGAAATTAAACATTTTTGAACTATCCTTACGCCAAGAAACCCACATTTATATTTTGAAGTCTGATTTCACCATGAAAAAGAAAGAAGTATATATTATCTACAAATGTTCCTGACCAAGTACAAGATTTTAATGCCTTACTTGGAGAACCATAGATTTAATGATGTTTTTGGCATCGCGTTAATACTCCAAACCAATGGGCACCTACCACAGTATTATTCAAACAGAAATCTACCCTATCAAAAGATGAGTACAACCTATCTTAAATAAGATCCTTCGAGAACCAGAAATAGCCATCTTATCCAATAGTCAAGCAGACTTAAGAGCGATCAAGTCAGTAACCATCAATTCGAAGGTGGTCAAAGAATGCCTGAACAAGTTAGGCAAAGAAAATAAAGTACTCGTACTTCAGTGCCAAACTACCAAATCATAAAAAGTACACGATCTAGCTAGAAAAGGAGCGAACACTCCACTAACTGGAACAGAATCGTTCTGCTTCCCTTACTTAAAGTAGAACTCAAGAATCTGGAAGTCCTCATCTATAACCTAAAATAGGAATCCTCCAATTGTCTAAGATGCTCTAAGAAATTTCTCTGGACTTACTTCATTTAAGTAAGTACTATCTTCAGATTGTCACGAGATTCTTAACAGGACACTATCTCCTCATTGAATACCTCAATAGATTGAAGCTAAGAAATGACGAATGTAAATTCCATGGGAAAAATGGAGAAACACTAGAACACATCATCACTGGGTGCGCCGAAACAACAACCATTCGTTTCATAACTTTGGTACGACTGATATCTGAGATGGAGAACTCTGGAAAACCGTCTCAGATACAGGCTTTCGTCAAAACACTGAAACTGTATAATGAGTTATAACTCAAGAAAGGAGGACACAGATTTATAAGGTCGCGGTGATTAACTTCTCCCCTCCCATACAACCTAAAATCTTGACATTTTTGTATCTTACTTTGCAATGAAGCCGCTGGTTCCAGCTAAGATGGCACCAACAGGACAACCCAGTCCTTTACTGAGGCAAAAGCATACAGAATCGACGTCTTTCGCTAGTCTACTAGGTGGCACGTTTAAATACACAGCGGCATTCATCATTCTTGCTCCGTCCATATGGACAGGTATGTTGTGCTCGTGAGCAACAGCTTGCACCTTTTCCAGCCATTCCAGGGGTAAGACCTGCATGAAAGCGATTTATTAAAACAATTAAAACTTGAAGAATAACTCATTGGCTTGACTGAATAAAAAACTAAGAAAGGAGTCAAATGCAAAACTGGTTTTGGTATTTAAACTTTAAAGACGGATGTGACGTCAAAAAGCCTGTATCTGTCAGGTTTGTTAGACTTTTCTCTTGATACTTTAGAATTCATGCGAATTAAAATTACTCAAGTTGTTTTTCTCTCTTTGTTTTTCCTTGTGATGGGAAAACTGATTGATTTCAATAATCGAGTACTCGAGTTTCAAGTTTTAAGCGATTTCAATAATGAGCGATCGCTCGAGCGAAATTTCGCTCGTGTTTAAAAATAAGTATGTTAACTTCTAAAAGAAAGTATGTTAACTTCTACAGGGTGGTTCAAAAAAGTGTGATTGGATCGGGATGATTTTTTTAAATGGAACACCCTGTATATTATTGCATTTTGGCTTCCTTTCTGATCACTTTACATAATCCTAAGATACTATTAAATATGTTTTCATAGTTTCAGAAATATTAATCAATAAATAAATAAAAAATATTTTTTTCAGCCTTTTTAAAAAAAATATACAGGAAATGTCGAAAAATACAAAATAGTTTTTACTTTGTTTTTTTAAATTGAACCGCCAAAAATTCTAAAATGCTTTAAATACAAAAAATGTTCGTTTTTTAATTATCCATCTAACAAAGAAATAATAACATGGTGTTCCATTTTTTTATTTATATATTAATATTTCTGAAACTATCAGAACATATTTAATAATATCTATGTATAGTAAACGCCACGAATGTTTGGGAGTGATTCATCGCTTGATGAAGTTAGAATCGACACGCGCGCTATCATTTTTACATTAAAAACGTAAATTTTTACCGCAGACGTAGGTTTTTAAAGGCCCGGTCTAATTATCTGCATGCGCTCCTCCTACTTATTCTAAAATGTTAGCGTGATTGACAAAGACGATACTATATCGCGTTTCTTTGATTGATTCGATTTTGTGCGTCAGTCCATTGGTGTGCTTGCAGTGCGACCAATGGGGTATTCCATTTTATATTTATAACCCAATATCTTTGAATAAGAAGACTAAGGAAGGAGCATATCAAAAATCTTAGGTACACCGCGATGGGCCTCAAATATGGCCGACTTAAATTCCGGTTTATCAGTGTCGTTCTAATTTTATTTAAAAAATGTAAAACTATGATGTAGGGTAGACGTGGGGTAGACTCAATAATTTGTTGTTTTATTTTACGTTGTGAATAAATGTTGGTAGTTATTAAAATTGTTATAAAAATATATAATTCTAATAAAAATAGATAAGTTATAATAAGTATTTATTAACACAAACATCCGATACGCTACTGAAGCAGGTAAGTCAAATTAACGTATCTAAATTCTTTGATATCTAATCTTTGACAAGTAATAAATAAAAGCTAAAATGCAAGAAAAATATATAATTTAGTTAATTTAAGTGAATTTCATAAATGATCGGTTTACTACACGTATGTATATTATATAGTCACTTACTAGCGAAAAGTTGTTCCATTATTTCACTCAATTTTTGCCGAGATCTACCGCACGCTACACAACCAACTATTTTAGAATCTTTTTCGATAAATCGCGATAGTGTCACTGTTAATTTAAGTTCTGCCACAATTTCCACCTAGATTTACTACCTTTATACAACTATCAGTAGTAGAATAAATAATAAGTAACATAAAATAAGCTCCGTAAAGACTGACAAATCCACAAAATTTCAAATCAAATTCAAATGTGTCAAATGAATCGTCAAACAGAACTGTCAAGGATCCCCACCCTAGAGTGCTTTTATGGTGCTTTTTCCGCCCACCATGCATGAATACATGGATAGCATTATGCTCCTTCCTTAGCCTAATATATGTTTTGACAAGATGACAGTTAAAACAACAAATTACAACAGATTATATATTGATTATTATAATGACTTGAAACACCACGGCACTGGAATTAAGTTTTATGTAACCTTGAACAGATTAGTTCACATGGTAGCGACCGATAAATCACTCCCAAATATTCGTGGCGTTTACTATAAAGTGATGAGAACGGAAGCAAATAATATACAGGGTGTTGTTCCATTTAAAAAAAATTGGCGCCGGGAGGCACGTATAGCCGCCCATACTAAAATATGTTAAATAAATTATTATTAATATATTATAAATTAATTTTTCCAATTTTTTTATCTCAAAAACTGCGACTTTGACTGATTTTGATGTTATTACAAATTTTGTTGCAAATATTATTCCTAATCTTAAATTGAAAATCGCGTTTTGCTAGCTACTGTAATTTTGGAATTACGATTTTTAAAATTTTACCAACCCCCACCCCCACCAAAAACTAATGGCCAGATTCTCGGATGTCACAGTATTTTTGTGCCAAATTAGGTTAAAATCGGTTTAGCGGTTTTTGAGTTATCGTTGTCAGCCAGACAGACACCATGAAAATATTTTGTATTTAGGTCATTTATGACCCAAATAACTCATTTTGAGTGAAATTAAAAAAACTTTTTTTTTGCCGATCTTAATAGAGCCTACCATACCTGTTGGTATGGCGGCTAAAAATCATTCCGATCCGGTTATTGATACATACTTTAGATTTGCGCTTATCCAAAATTCCTAAGTTTTTTTTTATTATAGGAGCCACAGATGCCCGACGCATTGTTGCCGGACCTATATAGTAGGAAAAACTTTGAACTATGGCAACCCCTATTTATTATAATGAATATTATTATGAATATACGTAAAAATTAAATTTTGATTAAAAATGTGACGAGCGTAATAATCCTGCATCCACATTTGGTTTGTTAAAATTTAATGCACCCTATCGGACAAACGCAGCACTTTTATACAGGGTCGCTGATATGTACCGGTCAATTATTAGGTAAAATTATACAAGGTACCACAAAAAGTTAAATATAAAAGTTATAGGGTTTTTAATTGTCTATTGGTCAATAATACATTTAAGTATACAGGATCGGTCATAAAGTCGTGGCTCATCAAAGTTTAATTTTTTTAAATGGAACCCCCTGTATATTATTGCATTTAATTCTTCCTAATATTCTAAGCAAAAATCGAAATACACACAATATACCTCAAACTGGCTCAAACCAACCGTTTCCGAGTTATTGACTTTTGAAAATATCACTTAAACAATTCGATTTAATTAATCTCGATGTGTTCGGTTTCATTTAACGATTCCATTCTGCCGTAACTGTGATATTTAATGATGCTTGACATTAGTTCTTAAGTTAGTATTTATAGATGTATAAAATGAGATTATTTCAAGTCAGGAAATTACTAAATTTACGTTTAACATTTTAAAATCAAAACTTCATCATTCGGAAATGGTTGAATTTAGGTACATTATGTATATAAAGATTTTTCCTGAAAATTGGAGGAAGAATTGAAATAGGCAATAATACATAGGGAGTTAAAAAAAATAAAGTTTGATGTGACGCAACTTTATGACCGACCCTGTATACTTAAATTTGCTAATAGACATTTAAAAACCCTATAACTTTTGTATTTATCTTTTTGCGGTACTTTGTATATTTTACTTAATAATCGACCGTTACCGTTACCATAAGTAAATTGTGTCAAGGTAATTTTGTTTCCATAATTACGAAATATTTACACACCCTGTATTAAAACCTTCTGGCTCTGGCAATCTTGCATATATGTTGATATACTCCTTTATTAATTTTTTTGTTCACTGATTGAACCATTACCTTTCCGCCACATATGTTGTGAGTATTTTCAACGATGATTAGGGATGATATAGGTTCGTGAAAGTCGGGGTTCTTTCTAATCCTCTTGCGCAATTCATCGATACTAAATGTGCCGTCTTCGTTATTTTTAATCACTGCCGTATGGACACCGGCTATTTGAGCCGTTCCACCTATAAAAAATTTCATGTGATAATCAATTGTTGATAAAGACCTTATGAATAAAGATCAAAAGGGTAACATTTAATCGTGACCGATACAATAAACTCACATAAACAACATTTTTATTTATATAAACATTTATATGTTTCAAAATATAAATTACGAATGTAAGCCGAAAGCATTATTTTGCAACATCACTCGTATATCAATGTAATAGCAGTGATCAAATGCACTATTTTCATTACCTTGTTCGAATTTGAATGTGTGACCACAATCTCCGGATATGATTTCGCTGCCTCTTTGGTTACAATGAACCATTACTGAAATAATAAAAAAAAATCTAAATAAAACAACTAAATACCATAAAAAAATAAGAACCCTATTTCATAAAAATTTAAAAGTACAAAGTTGCAAGCAGGAGTTGCACGAATAATTAAAATGTCAGTTTGGGGTTTATATAGAGTTATACAGGGTGTACCCAAAAAAGGTACATATCAAAGTTGTGTTCTTTGTAATGGAACACCCTATATATGAATTGATTTTCGGATTCTAGGAGAAAAATAAAAGTGAGTTTTATTAAAGAAGCATAATATGCCTAAAGTGTAAGGATTTTCACATATTTCACATTTTGCGAAAATAAAGAGTAAATTTTAAATTTCAATAACAGCTACCTAAATTTTAATTTACCCTGTAGAGCCTGATATTTAATTACAATAACCATTGGATGTTAAACCAAATTAAAATTTTATGCGAAAATTATACAGGGTGAGACAAAATTAATATGAAACACTAGCCACTTTTAAAAGCAAGTTACTCCTTTATTTTAAATGGAACACCCAGTAAATTATTTCGGTATTCAATGGGGAATTCATATATCTTCAAAATATTATTAAGGTTATACTAAGGGCTCGCAAAAGTTAGTCTTGGGTCGAGATTTCCGTATGTAAGAAGAGTACAATGCGTTTATAATGTACTGAACAAAGAACAAAGAGAGGATAATAAACACGTTGCCAAACGTATGAAATAAACCGAGAAACTGTGCACATCGCTAAGAGACGTGGAAGGGGATATAGCAGATTTGTCGCCCAATCAATACCTCTGTCAGTACTTAAAGTTCTAGGGAAAGGTGTACGTCATGCGTTCAGCTTCACGATTTAATTACGTCTCGTGATACTTAATTTGTTTATTTATTAACGAGTCGTTGTAATTTTCCCTATAGCTTGAATTTTTTAAAGTGCAAGCTAGAAACACTTGCATTTTTGGTAAAAATAAGTGGAATTGAGTGGGTGTTCGATAGTGGTCGCGCTATTAGAACTCTGAATTCAAAAATCGATATCTCGAAATCTATTAGAAATAATAGATTGTAGTTTTTTCAAGAACTTTGTTAAAATTTCTGCTGTATTTTCTTTGTAGACAGTATGTGAAAATCTTTATCAATAAAAAAATTACACGATTGCTGAAAATGTAAATGGATGGATTGTTTACAATTTTTGAATGGAAAAAACAACCTTATCGAATTTTTCTTATGTAAACATATTGTAAAATATCAGATCTTGAAAATAAAAAAAAGTTTCAATATCTAAAGTGGTTCTTGAGTTATGGCCTGTTATGTGTTAAAAAGTTGAGTTTTTAAATTATCGCGATTACTGACGTTTTCTCATTATAAAAAAAATGACACCCTAACGATATCCTTATAATTCCATTTCAGATGCTCAGAAACATGTCTAATGATTTTATCTAGTTATCTCTTGAAAAAAAGTCTTTTAAAAATAAGCGGTTTGCGATCGTGATTTTACTTTACTTGCGCGTCGCGTCGGTCGGTCGCATTTCTCTCACTCCGACTTAATAAGATCCCTATGCGATTTACTTCCACACATGTAAATGCCGACCCAAAAGTAACAGTTGTCAGCACGGTATTATTAAGTATATTATTATTGACCCTTAGACAAAGATTTCCCTAGATTTTTTTAATTTTTATGATTTTGTGTCAGTAGATCTTTATTATTTGAAAAAATCTAGGGGTGGCCGTGGTATACCATTTGTTAATTTAACAAAAGTTAAAGGATGTAAAATACTCAACGGTAATAAAAATTATATTAGAATTAATTATTACAGAATTAAAACTAGATTTAAACCTATGATTATGTGACAAAAATTAGCTAGATGAAATCAAATGCTCAAAATGTTTCCTTTCCTGTTAACTCCATAAAATGCTTCTCTTTTCAAAAAATCTTTTCATTTTAAAAGGCATATGTGAAGTTGTACTTCAAAAGGCAGCTACAATTATTTCTCTTCATATTGTCGACAATATTTGGTCGAGTTTTGTAAACACTGTCTTTAACATATCCCCATAAAAAACCAGACTAGATAAAATCAGGAGCATTTAAGTATTCTATTAATTAGTGAATGCGCACACTGTATTCACCAACTCATAGAATCATATCAATTCTCCCTGATATAGGATAAGTCAGCATATTCGGCAAATTTCTAAGACTTTTTTTATGTTTTAACTGACACAAAATGATAACTAGCTGCTAAAGTTGGACTAATTAGACAGCTACCCAACAACTATGTTGAAGTAACGTCAGACATACCACCAGCCACCTAGATTTTATCAAATAATAAAGATCTACTGACACTAAATCATAAAAAGGAAAATATCTAGGAACATTTTTGTTTGAGGGGTAGACACCTTAAGAGTATTTTGAAAAGACATGAATTCCCCATTGAATATCGGAATAATATACTGGGTGTTCCATTTAAAATAAAAGAGTAACTTGCTTTTAAAGGTGACCAATGTTCAATATTAATTTTGTCTCACCCTGTATAACTTTTTGGGCCAAGTTTTAATTTGATTTAAAGTACAATATAATACCGGGTAAATTCCAATTTAGGCAGCTTTCATTGTAATTTAAAAATTGTTCGGTATTTTTAAATCGCTGGGGAGAGAGTTCCACGATTAATTCGACGATTATATAATCGCGATCAAATTTGAAGGAAGTCTGAGGGAGCCTCTATGTATATCTTGCTGACGTTTTAAACCATCTGTTATACATATATATACATGTAACATAAATTTAAAAATACAACTATACATGTAACATAAATTTTAATAATAAAATTATATAAGGATTCTTGCCACTTAACTGCTAATATAGAAATTTAATTCTACGCTGTGTTTGTCATAATGCGGATCAACCTGCTCTCCACTACCTTTTACCATCCTTTTACTATCGATAGTTGCGCCTCGGTGGTACGAAAGTACTACCATTGCACGCAGGCCGCTATTTCCCGTTCGGGACTTAATATCTAACCGATACTTTCCGACAAGTCGGAATTAACTATCTCTGCGCTGTGGTTGTCATTTTGTGGATCTCCCAAGCTCACCTGATGATGGAGTAGGGCTCCGAAACCGGTAGTGAGAGCAGGTTGATCCGCATTATGACAAACACAGCCTAGAATTAAATTTCTATATTAGCAGTTAAGTGGCAAGAATCCTTATATAATTTTATTATATACCTCTACTGCAAGAAATTTGTTTTCTATTTTATAAATTTTAATCTCCTTCTATTCTTGAAGAAAAAATAGGGAGGATAAAGGAACCTACTGGAATGGCTATTCTTTTTATGTTGACATGATAGTTGAAAAGAAAAAGTCTATCTATATTATGGTCTAGTGTTTTTGTAATATTGCCGAAAATCATCACAAATCCGTACCGTTTTTTTTGTTATTAAGAGGATTATTATGAAAAATTACATGTTCAACGTTCAATAATAATTACTTTATGCGAACAATGTCAAAAAACCAGTATTTAATGAAGTAATTTAGATTCGAAAATAAATCAAAACATTTTCAAATGATGATTCTTTATTTCTTCAAGCATTTCACTTCTTTTTATCTCAATTTAGGTATATGAATACAAACAATTTGTTAATGATTGTTAAAGTACATGCAACAAGAGCAGCTGGATTAAACCAGATTTTATGTTATCAAAGTGTTAAAGGCCTAAATTTATCAATAGGAAACATATTTAAATTTATAGGTCACAGGTCACTTAAATAATTTTTACTAATAGAAGAGCTAACATTTAGATAATACCAACTAAGTACAAATAAACAGAGATAAATAATAATTATTATTTCAAGGTAAAGATTATCAAGTGTATTGACACACACACACACACATGTTGGAATCACTAATTAATAAATTACACAACAAAAGATAAAATTGATACGGTAGAGAAATTAAAATTAAGTTAGAACTCTAGAAAGGGTGACGGGTGACGGGTGACGGGAAATATCTTAACATTTAGGTTTTGGTCTATTTTTTATGGTTAATCCCATGGATATTTTATTATTTAGCAAAGTACTGAATGATTATTTCTTCCTAAATTACCTACGTTTATTTATGATTTTCTTTTTGTAAAAACTTACTTGCAATTAAATTAGCCATGGTACCACTCGCTACAAATACAGCTTCTTCTTTACCCAGTAATTCTGCAGCCCTTTTTTCTAGCTCAGCTACTGTTGGATCTTCCCCATAGACATCATCCCCAACAGTAGCCCTATACATAGCTTCTCTCATCTCAGGCGTAGGTTTGCTTAGGGTGTCACTTCGTAAATCCACCACGCGAATTCCGGTGTTGTTCATCAGATCCACATTAATTTTTTCGTACATTTTAAGACTTTTAAAAATGCTCTCAGCTAAAAGATAGAAAGTTTGACTGGTACTGACAAAGACAAGTGTAGTCAAGGAATAGTTTCAGAATAAAATTGATAAGAGGTAGAGCAGCTCTTTATATGTTGTGGTGTCTGGTTTGTTGTAATTAGAGTGGCATGAGGCAATATCAGAAAAGCTTGACGCGATATGAGAAACAAGAGTTATTTATCTGGCAGTTGTATTTCACAATGATCTTGTTGTCTATTTTCAACAGTTATTGGTACAGTCAAAAGATTATTACAAAATACGGAATTTCAGTGTTCGCAAAAATCGCAGTTACAAAACACTTACATAAGTAACTTACTTACCATGGACGGAAAATATGTAATTTATATCGCCGTGTAAAGGAGCGCCGGACCTTTTCTGGAGCGTTGAACAAGTTAAGATCTTTTTTGATCAGTTTTACACTTCAGGTGAATTTGACAATAATAATTAAAGTGCTTTAGCCACACAACATTACCAAAATGTAAATATATTCAATTATTACGGCTACGGAGGGCTTCTTACAAAATACAAATTTACAATTAATTACAGAGTTAATTATTTACAATTTATAAAACAAAAAATTAAGGTTATGTAAAAATCTTAACCTTAAACCTAAAATTAGGTTTTAAATTTCCCGCTAGACAAGAGTTGTCATTTGCATTTGCGGCGAAATTTTTACCGGCGAATCGTCAACCGTCAACCGTCAACTGTCATTTAAAAGTCATTTTTGTTGATGGTGGTTATCTTGTGATTATTGTTTATAAGTGGGTTTTTTAAATTATTCCAGGATTTAATAGATATTTATATCTTTATTTAGTGGTAAGTTTATAAATAAATAGTATTAAAAGCTTTGGGTAAAACATATTTATGTTTTAGTAGACGTATTAGAATAAAACAGAAAAGTAAGGTTATTTTAACGGTTTATTTCTAAACTTTTAAATAGTACAATATTGAAGCGAATTTCGGCTTGAAAAATAAATTTTTGTAAATTATTAACAATTAATCATAAATATGGAAGTAAAATTAATAGATTTGCAGGCATTTTTCAAGGCATTTGCGCGATGAAAGGGTTAGAAAGCAACCTTTTCTGTTCCCTTGTTTCCTTATTTGAGAGGCGTGAGGTACAAACAAAAAATTATACCTAGTACTTAAAAAGTACCTTAAAGTTGTTATAAACGTATGGATAACAAACACTTTCTACAAGTGGCTGCTAGTAGAAAACTATAGACTGTGTCAATACTACTTTCTATACCTTGAAATATACCTACTAATATAATATCTATTTGATGGAACTGGAATTTATTTTATATAACAAATAGTAAACGTACTTATACAAACTATAAAATTTGAGTAAGTTAACAGAGTTAAATAATGTTAAATAGTGTTTTGTTTTGGACGGTAGAGGTTCGTTTACATTTAGTGTTATTCACAACAATTTTAATTCAGTAGTGTCTAAATTACTCTGTTTTCATTTTGTTTATGTAAAATGAGCGGAATAGGTATTATGGGTGAATGTTTAAATATTCATTGTTAGACAGATGTGTAAGGCAAAATTTTATCAAGTATATATTTTAAACTTTCATAACATGTTATAATTTTTGATATTTCGAATAATGAAATTGTATGTATATTATAATATAAGCTGAATACTTATTTGTTATTTTTACTATATGAATATGTATACCCCAAATGTATAACAGAAACAATTCAAAATATGTAAAAAATTAACTTACTGTTATGCGTTTGTTTATTCACAATTATTCTAGATGCTGTTGTGATGCTTTTACAACTCAGTTGAGAAACATTTGCGTACATATACGAGCTTTTAGTTTTCCTTTAGAAAATATAAGCAATATGTGTTTATCTACTGCTACTTATAATGTTTATATCAGCCTTAGTTTTTAAATAAGAAAACGTTTTCCAGTTCTTATTTAGTTATGCCATACCTGCTTAATTTACATACATATAGGTATGTAAGTACTATAATTATCAAATATTTGAAAAAAGTTTAATTATACTTAGACCTTCAGTTATAAAAAGTCACATAGCTTAAGCCCAATCAAGACTACTTTCAAATTGCTCTTTCCTTTTTTATTCTATCAATTTGCTAGGCATATTATTTATCTATAACAAACTTATAAGTAAAAATTATTAAGTTTTGCCATATTTATGTATGGATTTATTATATAGTTGGTAGTTTGTAAAAATATACAATTTATCTTAATTTTATTAAATCAAATAGTAAGGCCACTTAAAATTATATTGACATAAGCAGTGTCGAAGCCTTGTTTACAACTTTGACAAGGAGATTAACTAATACCTAATTATTTAAAAATTTAATTTGTTACATATACCGCTTTAAAACTTTCTCAAAGGTTAAATATATATAAGGATAAATTACATTATAAAAAAGAGTAATTTTTAAAAGCAAGAATGTAAAGCATGCTTCAAAAAATTCGTAAAGTATAGTAAAAGGCACAATGCGTTAGAAGATTTATAAAACTCTTTAATCTTGCTGGAGAATAGAGAATTTGCACTTTTTTGGCTATAAAAAATATACATGCACAAATTTTAACGGTACAAACATAATAGTCCAGGAGGTAGTGAATTTTTTTTGTACTTATTTTCCCAGTGGGTGAATATAAAAGTATGTTCGGATAGTGACATTATAATTAGTAGTGGGAAATTATAATACGACAATTTGTAAGTCTGGCAAACATTTTCGGATGGGTTCACTAGGTAAAAATAAAAAAAGTCCACTTATTTTCCCAGTCATAAATATTTGACATTTATTAAAGTGAATCATTTTATTAATGTCAATAAAAGTCTGGCACATCCCAAGTGGAAGAAAATCAGTCTGGCTGAAAATTTGCAGATGGAAAAATTTGACAGATTTTTTAAATCTCTAACCCTGATTTTTCATGCTTGAAATTTAACGTATCATTTCATACTATCATAAACTATAATCAAAAACAAGTCTGGCTGATTTACGAAATTGGAAAATGGGTCTGGTGGCATATAAAATTCCAAAAATCACAATATTTTTGCTCATATTTTCCCTAATTTGAAATTCCCTTGCCAAATTGATTTTTCCTTGCCAGACTCGTTTGACGAGTTTGTCAAGGCCTTTGTGATGTTCAACATTATCCAGACAATATTTGCAGCTGTAATTATAATATAAATCATCTGACTTATCTGACAAATTTTTAGGAGTGCGAAAATAAGGGCAATGGTTTCAATAATACATTTTTATCCAGTTTTTCACCTGCCAGACATATTACCCATTCCCAAAGATTAGCCAGACTATACAGGGTTGTTCACCACATACGACACGGAGTATTGTAGCTAAACGATTAGATTTTTACAAATTGTAAGTTTTGGGTTTGTTGAAGGACTATTAGAGCTACAATTTAAAAATATTTTTACAAGATACAGAGTGTCCCAAATTAATAAAAAATATCAAAGTTGTATTTTTTTTAATGGAACACCCTGTATATTATTATATTTTTAGTTTCTACGATTAAAATAAAGGTAAAAAAATTTGATTAAGGTTTATCACACTTAAAACCGTTTTTGAAATATTTTCAATTTTGTGAAATTGGAGTAAAAATTTTAAGGCTTCATTTCTCCAAGGGTATCAAAGTATTTAATGCTAAATATTTACTGAAGTTTATTTATTGATCAATTATTGTGTTGCAATAATAAGAATAATACTACCTCATACAGAGTTATTGCCGTTTAAAGCTAGTAATTGTTTAAAAAATTATTTTAAACAATTACTAGCTTTAAACGGCAATAACTCGATTAATTTAAATGGAACACCCTGTGTATTTTATGAGAATCAGATGCACAATTTGACTGCCTATCAAATTGTATTATACCATTTTTTACCTATCCCTTTAAGTTTTCGTAGAAAATACATTTTCTTATAATTTAGACCTCATTTATCAATATACTCTTGGAAAATTGACATTTTAGATTGTTTTTAGAGCAACAAATGTACAAAATGTACAGGTGCTAAAACGATAATATTACTAGCCCATTTGTATACAAAAAGAACATTATTTAAATCTTTATAAAAGAGTATACCATTACCATTAATTAAATATACCACCATTATTTAGGCCCAAATATTAATTAATTACATACATAACTGTGTTAGTTAATAAATTATTCTAAATAAATCTGGATTTGTATCAGACATCAATATAATAATAAGTTATGAAAGTGAACGTCTCTGTTGCTAATAATAAAGCATAAAGCTAAATAAATAAGCATTCGTAAAAAAATTAAATAAAATTTTTAAGGTGTTACTTTTTACCACATTGTCTAATACAGATACAAAATTCAGTTTTTTAGTATTTGGAGCAATTATTATTATCTTTATAATCAACGCAAACAGTCAATTAATGTAGTTTGAATACCGGAATCATTAATTGGTATTTAACAAATATTTAAACAGTTTTTTTATTTTTTGATTGAAATAAACGAACTATATCGACAATATTAGTATCTGTACTCTTTAAAAATTTGCTACATCTTTAAAAATAATCTAAAATGTCAATATTCCATGGCTATACTGATAAATGAGGTCTAAATTATAAGAAAATGCATTTTCTACGAAAAGTTGAAGAGATAGGAAAAAATGGTATAATACAATTTGATAGACCATTAAATTGTGCATCTGATTCTCATAAAATAAACAGGGTGTTCCATTTAAATTAAACAAATTATTGCCGTTTAAAGCTAGTAATTATTTAAAATAAATTTTTAGACGCTCTATATAAGGTAGTATAATTTTTATTATTGGAACACAAAATTTAGTAAATTGAAATACTTCAGTACAATATTTGGTTTTAAAAACTTAAATACGCCTAGAGAATTGAAGAATTAAAATTATTACTGAATTTAGCAAAAAACCTAAATATTTCAAAAACGGTAAGATTAAAATATGGTAAATCTTAATCAAATTTACCTTTATTATTTTAATCGTAGAAACTAAAAATGTAATAATATACAGGGTGTTCCATTTAAAAAAAATACAATTTTGATAGTTTTTATTTATTTGGGACACTCTATATCTTTTTAAATTCTAGCTCTAATAGTTCTTCAACGAACCTAAAACTTTCAATTTGCAAAAATCTAATCGTTTAGCTACCATACTCCGTGTCGTATGTGGTGAACAATCCTGTATTTTTTTCTTAACTGCATACACATCTCTCACTAATAGAACTATTTTTATCTCTGAAAAGTGCTGTAGACTGCTGTTCATCCAATATATGTGGTCTGGATTTTAATGCGTGTGACACAGAATAATATAAATGAACGATTGACAGACAGAGAGACAAAATCAAAAGCGGCATACAGTGTTGCCGGTTTTTTATATTTGTAGTAGTTAAGTGTGCAGAAAAATACCGTACCTATGATCGAATAAAAACGGCGTCAACGATGGCTATGAAATGAAGATCGGTCATTTTATATGTAAATTTATATGGGAAATGTCATCGATCGTCATTTCCCAGCCAACTGGACGCCGTTTTTTTTCGATCATACGGTATAAGCTATTTTAAAAACTTTTATGTATACTTCTGATATGATGATAACATAGAGTTAAAAATTAAGATGATAATATATAATTTATTACAACTGTAGTAAAATGAGTAACTAACTAATAGTGAAAAATAAAGTTCCAATCCTAGATGCAACATTTTTCGTAAACGCCTATTTTTGCGGTTTTAAATTCTGATTCAAAATCCAGCAATACCGCATAGAAGAAATGTGTCGATCCATTTTTATCCCTTTTTAATACATTTGATTTTCCATTAAGCTGTCTACATCACTGTCTTACACGTCAAAATCCAGGCCGCACAGTTTCGATGACCAAATCAGTACCTATATGAAATTTGCTTAGAATCACATACCGAATAATTCTATTGGTGTTTGCTGACTGGGAAAATACGTACCAAAAATTGTTACTGTCACCTGGACTATAATAGACGATTTAGAGATTAATGTAAAATTATTCACTGCTCTCCATTTGATTGGTCCATTATAATTTGAAAATATATTATATTATATATTATAATATTAATGAATGTCCAAATAGGTATATCATTTTTGTTGTATTATTATGTTATTAGGGGATGTCGTATTTAAGTTTGAGGAAATCTGGATGATTTTCCAATTTTTAAAAATAATATAAATTATAAGGATAATTAAAGATTAGTATTTAATTGAATTATTTAGACCAGTTAAATAGAAAGCTTCAAATCTACAAAAAAATAATAGGCCTATTTTTTCTCGTTATTTGCTTCTATATCTCTATGACATCACAGGAATAGCCTGAAATAGTATTCCTTCTGTAGGTACTTCGTACTTCTTAGAACTCACTATCGCTAAAGTTTTACCAAAAATATTTTCATTTAAAACAGCCTTTTGTAAATTATTATACTGTAATAACGTATATTTTTTTAAATGCGAAGAAATAATTATAGTCTTATAATTACTAAATTGGAATTGTTATTTATAAGCATCAACGACTCAAAAAAGTATAAATTAATAAGTGTAATAAGAAAGAAAAGGTTTCAACAGAATTTATAGTGTAAAAACAATAAAAAACTTTAAAGTAATATCTTTGCAATTAGTATTGTTATTTTTAAAGTTTTTATAATAAACATAATAATAATAGTCTCCCGTATAGAGCGTTTACGAGCCTTGGAAGTAGCAAGGTACAGCTTGCAATGCTGGAGCCGTTTGATATACAAAGAAGGTAATATGGTTTTATGAAGAAAATTGTATTTCGCCTCTTATTCATATCTCAATTTTTTCAAATGGAACAAGGGTGGCTCATTAGCATATTTGGAAAAAGCATTTTTTTACGAATAATTTGGTACCACACATTTGGTATTTCGAGTCAAATTTGTCGTTATGAACCGCATGTTACAGTTTCAAATAAACCATATGCGAAAATTTCAAAAGTTGACATATGATATGTCATTGTATTCAGAGTGTCATTTTCTATTGAATCAAGTAAAGAAATACCGAGGGTACCATTTAAATATCAAAAGTTGTAGTTATTTCCGGTGAAACAGGAAGTGACAAAAAACAATTATTGAATACGTCAATCATTCCCAATTTATGTCACAAACTAGCATATATCAAATCTCATTTTTTATCTGAAAAAATGAAAAAGTTACAGGGTTGAGCCACTTTTGAGACGCACCCGGTATATAAATATTATAAATAACAATTCCTTTAGACAAGCGACTCACGTTATGCTTGATAAAAATTGATAGATACGTCAAAGAAACTCATACATTAACATCAGCTCCTAAAAACAATAATCTATATTTTTTCTATATTATTTATAAAATTAGTACTTAAAATATGGACGTTTGTGCATAAACGTTTTTAATAATGAATAAATTAGCAGTAATAGTAAGTAATATCTTACGGGGATCAAAACAAGGGAGATACCAGGACTATTGAGTAGTAATAATATAACATTGGACATAGGTTGGACATATACCCTGTGGTGGAACGAAAATCGGGTTATGGGAAATTTTACAGAAATTTTGAAATGGTCAAATACCTCCCCAATATGTCGATGTACAGTGTAGTACATGTTTGGTATACAGGGTGCTAAAAATTCGAGGTAAGAGCACTGGTATCTCGGAAACCGTCATAGATACGAACATGGTTAAATTGGGACAAAGTTGCGCTTTAGGATGTTCACCTAGATGTGCCATCAAAAAAGTTTTAAAAATTTCAAGGATTGCCGATTTTTTTTTGGAAAAAACGTATTTTTTTGAAAATCAATTTTGTTTTTTTCAGTCGTTAGTTTTAAGAAAATTATATTAAAGTAATTTATATATATATATATATATATATATATATATATATATATATATATATATATATATATATATATATATATATATATATATATATATATATATATATATATATATATATATATATATATATATATATATACATATCATTGTACTCAGGAGATTGAGTTGTTTCAAAACTTGAAATAAAAAATGCAGGTCCGTATTTAAAAAAATAAGTTGGCCTCTGTATCTGACAAATCATCAGCTAGTTTAAAAATCTAAAAATACTATCAGATAGCCCTAATAAAGTGACTATGAGAATGTGCAATTATTTTTTTGATTTTCCAAAAAGTAACGACAGGAAAAAATCCGTTTTTTTTTTTCAAAAAACTCAGCAATCCTTGAAATTTTTACAACTTTTTTGATGGCATCTTGGCCAACATCCTAAAGCGCAACTTTGCGCAAATTTAACCAACTTCGTCTCTATTACGGTTTCCGAGATACCAATGCTCGTACCCCGAATTTGCAGCACCCTGTATTTTTATTAAAAGAAAGATGCCTTTTATTTATTTTAGAAATCAGAAAAAAATTATTATTGTCAATAATGTGAATTAGCCCTGGTAATGTTTTTCCAATTTCAATACCCACAAGTCGTAAATTAACAAAAAGAGTCCATCATACATTAATGTTTGTCAATTCCGAAAAAAACTAATCAAACTGTTTTCCAACCTAACCATAAAAACGAAACAAAACTTAAACCCACTGATGTCAGTTGATCATGCTGGATATAGGGTTGAAGCGCATGATCTTGCTAAGTAGTATCCAGAGTACGGAGGTCATGACGCAAAGCATCACGCCTCCCCATCCGAGGTCCAGCGACCAGGATGTGGTGAAAATTCGGGCGGCGAGTAATTCGCCCACCCCTCGGACGCCCATGGGGCTGACCACCCCGTCCACGGGGCCCTCGTGCAATTCTACGTTCGGTTTGATGTGCAGTCGTTTGAAGTGGATTATTGTCAGGGTGAAGAGAGCGAACGATGCTGGAAAATTAAACTCTACATTAAACACCTATACAGGGTGGCGCCTCTCATACGACCCGGAGGCTCCAGGGAGGACGGTAGTTTATATCGAAATAAAAATTTGAAAGCATATGTATGTAGGTTAATTGAAAGCATTTTATAAAAATATACATATTGTATAGTTACGCAGGGTGTCCCCAGAAAAAGTTACACATCTATGTTGGATTTTTTGTAATGGAACACCCTATATGTTAATTGATTTTTGGATTCTAAAAAAAATAAAGGCGAGTTTTATTAAAGAAGCATATGCCTAAAATGTAAGCATTTTGACATATTTCACATTTTGTGAAAATGATGAATAAAATTTAAATTTCAATAACAGCTATCTAAATTGTAATTTACCCTGTATAGCCTGATATTTAATTACAATAACCATTGTATGTTAGACCAAATTAAAATTTGACCCGAAAAGTTATACAGGGTGAAACAAAACTATAGTAAATTCAACCCCAAGATGCACCAAACGTAAACAGAGACATGAGGCAAGCACGTGAACAGGAACGCTGTAGTAATATAACCAGGACCGCACTAAGGTCGGATATTTCAAATCATAAAATTATTATGTATATTTTTATGATTTTTTTTACTATTGTTTATATTTTATGATGGAAATTTATATTATATAAATGGGTAATTATTGGGAAAACTGGAAATCGTCCTGTTTTCACCAAAATTGGTATACACCCTATTTTGAGGTCGTAGATTACGAATCTGACCAAACCTAACCAACCAGCGGTCTCTTACCGTTTTTCAGAAAAACGGAAAATAATTTCAACATTGCTTTTTTTTTTTATTTCAGCCCTATAAAGTAATAATTTCACTATATTTTTATTATATCATAGTTTATCTAAAAGCCACACTTGATTGAGGATTGAAAAATGTCCAAAATTTTACTGAAAAACACTTTTCTTAACAAAATAACAAAGAAAATTGAGACCAGATGGAAGTTTGACATTTCATATATTCTTCTTTCTCTCTCCTATGTAATGAGAGAGACAAATATTTGATTTTTTTCGGGTGATTAGGGATTTTAAATAAATTACCTATTATGAGATTTGACAATAGTTAAATATACCTATATCCACAAAGTTACGCGGAAGAGTTTTAATTACATTGCTTTCAACTTCTATGCTTAGGGGGTTGATATTTTTATGTTATATTATATTAAAAAAAGATTAAACCCCTTCGCAAAGAAGTTATATAAATACTATTTATAAGCCCGAAGTTGCATGAAAGAGTTTTGATTGCACTGGTTTCAACTTCTTTGCGGAGGGGTTAATCTTTTTTTATATAATATAACAAAAAAGATTAACACCCTCCGCATAGAAGTTGTAACCACAATGCAAACAAAACTATTTCATGCCACTTCGTGGTTATAAATAGTCAGATATCGTTGGTAAAATAGCAGTTATGGGAAGGAGCTGTTCAACAAGGCAACCGCCTTTCGTAATCCCAGAATGAGCGAAAAAACACGCTAAATTTACGTTCAGCATTGGCAACGTTGCTTTAAATGCCAGAAACACATAACCCACATTTTCAGATTGTTTACAAATTTATTTTAGCAAATTTTCCTCTATTATGCATAGAATTGGTTAAAAAAGTAACAGAAAATAGCAAAAACCTCATTGTTTATTGAATACCTAACAAAATATGTGCTAGAAAACCTTAAAAATATGAGAAATTAAGTAAAATTCTATGTTGAAACTATTTTCCGTTTTTCTGAAAAACGGTAAGAGACCGCCAGGAAAAATTTTAGTTGACAAAAACACTTAGTTTTAACTTGCTTTCGTAGCCTGCTGTATTATCCGTTTTAAAGTATAACGACATTTTTTTTTGAAAAACTAGTCAAATAAAAACTTCTATTTTTAAACATAACATTTATTAACATTAGATTTACAAAATTTATAATTTTATTAACATTTACAAAATAATAATTTTATATAAAATATATAACTTTTGACTTTTTGTAGTAGGTACGTGTGTACTAATTGTAAAAATATTTTATGCAAACATAAATATTATTTTGTCTATTTGTAACTTGTAACTTTTACGAAGTGATCAACAATTATTATTGAAATAGTTGACTGTTCTGATTTTACTCGCTTGGTTGGGAATAAATTTAAAAAGCATTTTTATGTTATCAAACAGTATTCCTTAACGCGCTATGCAAGCCGACCCTGTAAAAATTCTCAACCGCCTACCTCAACGGCTCTATGGCTGGGAAATCAGGGTAGATTCAGTGCTGATCACGCACTGTGCATTTGTTTATACTGGTGCATTTTGAATTTGAATACAGTTTAATATTGAACATTGGTTACATTTAAACACAATTTACTCTTTTATTATAAATAGAACACCCAGTATATTATTCCGATGTTCAATGGAGAATTCATATATCTTTAAAATATCATTACGGTTGCCTATCAAATAATAAAGATCTATTCAAACTAAATCATAAAAATGTAAATATCTAGGAAAATCTTTGTTTGAGGGGTAGGCAATCTTAATAGTATTTTGAAGAAACATGAATTCTCCATTGAATATCGGAATAATATACGGGGTATTCCATTTAAACTAAAGGAGTAACTTGCTTTTAAGGGTGACCAATGTTCAACATTAATTTTGCCTCACCCTGTATAACTTTTTGTTTTAGGTTTTAACATGATTTAAAGTACGATAGTTATTTTAAGTACATATTAGGCTATACCGGGTAAGTTCCAATTTAGGTAGCTTTTATTGAAATTTCAAAATTGTTCTTCATTTTTAGACAATGTTAAATAAGTTAAAAACCATATATTTCAGTCGTATACTTCCTTAATCAAACTCACCTTTATTTTTCTCCCTGAATCCAAAAATCAATTAATATATAGGGTGTTCCATTACAAAAAAACACAACTTTGATGTGTCACTTTTTTATGGACACCCTGTAGAACTCTCTATATTTTTAAAAAGCGATCTGAATTAATCTATATATGCTCACAAAATTTCATTTCAATACAAACTGTCGTTCTCCTTGGAGTCGCGTCGTATGAGAGGCACCACCCTGTACAGCACCCAATTTGATTTTTTTAAATAAATTTCTAGGAACAGAAACTTATGAACAAATGATACGTTTTTGTAGTGTTTTGAGTTTGAAAATTGATATAATGAATAATATAGTACTTTTTATTGGACAATACATTTCAAGTAAAAGTTTGCAGTTACTTAAATACTTCGTTTTATTCTAATGTTTTACTTATATTAATTCTGTAATTAAGTTGACTCACCAGCTAATAAATACATAACTCCGGTAACTAAAACAGCGCTAATTTGGTGCTGAAACACTCCAAAAGCTCCAACCAATGCTGCGCTGCCTAAGACTATTAGGCACACTAAAGCACACGATATTGAGAGATTCTGCATACCTATATTAAAAGAAAAAAAAAATAGTCTCCTAACCATATAAATCTCTTGTTTTGTTTATAATTTAATTTTGATAGTGATTCATTTGTAATATGGTAATAAACTCATTGGCAAAAGTTTTGCACCCCTTTACTATTTTAATAAAAAATTACATTTCAAACTAATTTTTCGTGGAAATCAATAGATGCTAAAGTTATGTTAAAAAATAACACAAAAAAGGGAAAACTTTCACCAAGTTTAATAACATATTTTGCCAAAATACAAAGAAATGCAAATTCCATAAAGAAAAATGTTTGACAAAAAAGAGAAAATAAATAAATAAATAATAAATTCTGACAAAATTAAGGTTACTAATATAGTCGTCGGGGCATCCCCGCTATAAGGTTGTTTATGGTCTCTTGAGGTAAGTTGTGCCATTTCTCTTGAGCGGCATTGATCAACTCCTGGCGATTTCTTGGTGGGTTATTTCTGCGAAATACAGCTCTGGTGATGTAGTCCTAGACATGTTCAATAGGATTCATGTCGGTGGAGAATGGAGTCTAGTCCAGACGAGTTATTTCCCCTTCATTTAATGCTTCCTGGACCATCCTAGCTCTGTGAGAACGAGCGTTAACATCCATGAGAATAAAATTATTTCCGATTTCTTCTCGCAGTGGATAAATTATTGGTCTGATTACAGTTTCCACGTACAAATGGGCGTTCATCACCTCAGGAATATGAATGAGCTCTGTTCGCCTATGATGCCACCTCAGAACATCTCAGTTCCTCCTTGATAAGGAGCAACACCAAGGTCTGTATACAAGCGATGCTGCCTCCATGCCTCCCTTCACACTCGCTGACGATAGTCATCACTGATCAAACCTATCCTATATCGTCAGTAAAAATTACGTTTCTCCACTGAGGTAATAAGTTCTGGTTCTGGTGTTCTCTAGCCTACTGTAGCCTCCTTTGCCCATAGGCAAACGTAACACCATAGCACCGTACATAAAACTCTGCGACCATAGTGTAAAGTTAATAAGGGGCTCGCAGTGGACGTCTACGCCGCAATCCAGCATTAGAAATTCGCCTGGAAATGGTTCGGCTTGATATCACTCGGTGGTAAGTTCGTTGAAACTGAGATCGTAGCTCTCGAATTGTAACTGACTGATTCCTTCTAGCAAATTAAGCCAAGTAGCGATCCTATCGTTCAGTCGTTACCCTTGTACGACCCAACCTAAGACGAGATCTTATATTTCCGGTGTCCATATACCGTTGTATAATTCGGCTTACAGTACTTCGTACTAAATTTAACCGATCAGCAATTTGATGCCTGCGGAGACCTTCTTCATACAAAGCTATAATTCGGGCCCTATCGAAGGCAGAAATTTCGTACCCTGGTATATTTGTCGCCTTTCACAACACTTACTACAAGATTGAACTCGAACTGAGAAACAAAATTTGACCGCAAATAGCAAAACCATACACATTCAATCGATAAGGTTTTCTTTCATTGCTTTGATGGCCTATTTTTTGTAGACACATATTAAGGTATTTGTACACATAGCCACAACAATATGCTATGCAAGACTTGCCGATGAGTGTATATTATGATATACTCCAAGACAGTTTCCTGGACAATTGAAATGCTTTATTATAAAGTCTCGATTTATTCCTTACATCCATAATTATTATAATAGATGCCGATGTATTTATAAAATGTGAAAAAATGTTACTGTTATAATTAAATTTGTAAAATAATGATTTTCTAAAAATAAAAGTAAATTTTACATTAAAAGTATAAATTTGAATGTTTATACTAAGAAAAATATTATAATTTGATATTCGGCATTTAATATATTTGATTATCTTCAGAAATCAGAGATTTCAATCAAAATTAATTGCACAGTAAATTCTATAAATGTCAATAACATAGTATGTTAATTAAAGTTTTAAGTGAATTTGAAATTACTAGTCACGGAGTATTAATAGGCATGCTTTTTGATATGCCAAAACTCATTAAAAGTTTCCGAGTAAATTTTAATGCCTTGTTTTTACTTATGAATTTATTTTTATACCATTTTATATTTATTGTTAATTTCACATTATCTTTCACATGTTTCATTCATGTCGTTCAAGTCTAAATAATTAATTTAAGCATATACCTTTATAAAATAAAATTTGTGAAATTCTCTTACGATATACAGTATGTCCCCGGATTGTCTTTACAAGAGGAAAAGCTTTTTTTATTGACATTTTGAGAAAAATGCATCCTGTATAAGAAATTTTCCTTGTTCTAAAACGGTTAATCCCGTTTATGTTTCCAAATTTCCATATCGTTTTAGAGAAAATTACAAAAAATATGAAAGTATAATAATTGATACAATATGTTATATTGTAATACAATTTCGATGTCTTTCTTTGATAGATGGTTATTATTAATTTTGTATAACAAAGTATCACATTTTCCGATAACTATTATCACCCTTTCTGTATTATTGAACTAAATAAATGTTATGCTTCTTAACATTTAAAACAACAAATATAACTTTTAAAATTCCATCAATAACAATCTATCAAAGAATGAAAACGATATTATGTTATCATAGAAACGCGTTTAACATTTAAAACAACAAATATAACTTTTAAAATTTCATCAATAACAATCTATCAAAGAATGAAAACGATATTATGTTATCATAGAAACGCGTTTTGATTTTTAGGACTTTTTAGGAAAAATTCAACTATATTTTCATATTTTTTTAAAATTTTCTCTAAAACGGTATGGAAATTTTGAGAAGTATTAACGGAATTAACCATTTTAGAACAAGCAAAAAAATGTATAACGAATGCATTTTTTTGAAAAAGTTTTTCCTCTTGTAAAGACAATCCGGGGATGTGCTGTACATATTGTAATTTGAAATACTTACGGTGTTGCCAATCTGCTCTGGGTTCGTAGCCTCTTAAACCGTCAGAGCCACCTGCCAGGTAGTTGACGCAACGTGGCACCGACCGAAATCCTACTCTTCCAAGTAGTTGAATTTCTTCATCTGGTACGGCGAGAAGCAAGAAATGAAAATAAAATGGAGTTATACAGGGTGGTCCGAATTGTAATCGGGAAACATATTCGGCAACATATTCTGCAGATAAAAATAAGTAAAAAAGTTCGTATAAATGTATGTCCTAAAATGCTTAATTGCGGAGATACAGGGTGTAAGAGTTTTATTTTTATTTCGATTTTTTCCGACCAATTTATAAAACTAATGTCGATATTTGAATGAATGTGATGGGTGTTTTTTTGACATGAGGAGTTTGATTTTGATGTCAATATGACTCCTACTCTAGGAGACGCCACCTACATACTTTTTCACTATTTTGAAGAATAATAACTTTTTTATTACGCTACTGAGTGTAATGCAGGGGAAAATATACATTTTCGCAGTATTTTACGCAAAAAAGGTCTCTTGATAAAAATCGCTACGTGTAGTAATGATTCTCGAGATATTTGGAATCGAAATAGTCAATGTCATCATTGACAAACATTAAACATCAAGAAAGACTGATATAATAAATTTTAAAAATGTTTTTTGTGTCAAAGGTTCAACAGAAACTGTTTTATCATAATTTCTTCATAGATAATAGATTTGATTGAGTTGATCATAGATTTTTCTCTTTGTAGAAAAATTTATGATTAATTAAAAAAATAAAAACTGGTTTTTGTTAAAAACCCAAATTTATCATTTCAGTTAAATAAGTATCTACTATCTAGTCAACATGTTTATTTTTTTGTCAATGATGACATGTATTGGTAATCTCCATCTCAAATATCTTGAGTAGCGATTTTTACCAATAGACCTTTTTTACGCAAAATACAGGGGAAATGGATATTTTTTCGCTTAGTAGTGTAATTGTAATACCAGATACGGACGAAAAGTTATTACTCTTAAACTTAAAAAACAGGTAGGTCATATTGACATCCAAATCAAATTTCTCATCATCAAAAACACCAATTTTCATGCAAATATTGACTGTAGTTCAGCAGTTATTTGGAAAAAAAAAACAAATAAAAGTGAAACTTTTACACCCTGTTTCTCAGAAACGAAGCATTTAGGAACATAAATTTATGACCTTTTTCACATCTGTAGAATATGCCGCCGAAGTTTCTCGAATGCAATTCGGACCACTCTGTATATATATAAGTTAATAATTCAGTAGCACATTTTGACTTCGTCCGCAATTGCTCATTTCCTTTGATTATTTCTGGCAATTTCTAATGGGTTCTATAAATAGAAGGAATCATGTCGCTCATAGTCTTTAGCTTCATTCAGAACCTCGAAATTAGTGGTTTCAATTAGCGTAGAAGTTTGTTCCTCTTATTTCAATGTAAGCATTAAGAACGCCAAAATTAGTGGTAGTTATTTTAAATTAGTAGAAAAAGTTAACAAACTTTTAACTTTTCCACTAATTATACTTCAAATTTGCGAGTAATGTCATTTTGGCCTTTGATTATCATCCGTCAAGAGAAATTGTGGTTATAAATCAAAAATGTATTGTTTTATAAGCTAAATTATTAGGCTTTCTCCATGGATTCAACTGACTAAGATTGCTAGGATATTCTATTAATTTTAATTGTGTTTTCTTGTCATTGTGAATCATCGTAAACTAAAAAAGTATAAAGTGTTGATTGTTTTATAAGATGGTTACAAGTGCTTACCGCAAGCTGTTGCTGGGATATCCTATTAATTTTAATTGTGTGTTTTTTAGACATTGTCAATGATCTAGGTAAACTAAAAAGTATAAAGTGTAATCGAAACCACTAATTTATTCTACTAATCGCGAGGTTCTGAATGAAGCATAATTAAAACCACTAATTTCAAGGTTCTGAATGAAGTTTTGATCTATAATAGCCAATGAAAACACTAGGGTGTTATACTTACAATAGCCAATGAAAACACACGAGTGTTTACGAGCACATGTGCAGGTATTGGGAAATTACCACTGCCTCAACTTTGCCTCACATATTGCCTCTCAATTACCACTCATTTGCCTCACATATTATCTATGTTGAAACTTGAAACCAGTTACTTGTTCTTAACTGAACCGTTTTTAGAACTTCGACATAAACTCTAAATTATTATCAGATTATTTAAACGACAACGGTCCTTTTAATACCATAAAGACTTAACCAGTCTTATATTCTTTATTACCGAGGAAATCTACTCTATCCATTCTTATTTTCCCGGTTTTAATTAAATTTTCCTTAAGAAAAATTGTCTGGAACCGGGAGAGGGCACTAAAGAAGTTGTTAACTTCCCTTGTTTTATAATTTCGGCGTTGTTCTTTTTTATTTTTGCGCGAAAATTTTCCGCCGTCTCGTTCTCCGTCTGGATAATTTGATTTCCCGAAGTTTTCGACGAAAATATAAAACTGAAAAATTCTACGGAATGCGTCTTATTCTCTTTCCATTGCTCTGGGGTTGGTGAATTATTTGAATAAATTCTTGTTAAATCAAAGGAAACGACGGAAATATGTATTTCTTCTACCACCGTCTCGTAAAACATTCAAAGTTACAAGATTTTTAGACGCAACGGAATTAAATAAGATTTGCTTTATAAAATATTCAGTACTAAAATCAGGGTTAGTTAAAATCTCTTAGAGGCATTACTTTTCAGATTTGAGCATTGATTCTCAATATTTTTTTTTTGTATGGGAATGTTACTTTTATTTACCATGTTAGTTCATGAGTCATGAGTTTCTATGTTACATTATAGGAGTAGGATTACCAGACGTCCGGATGTTATAGTACGAGAGCTAGCAACGTCGAAAAAACAAGTATTTTAAGACGTCTGGCTCTTTGATATATCTTTAACTATGCTCTCTTGAACAATATGCGACCCGTCTGGCTGCCGGTAAACGTTGCGTTCCCTACTGCGCATTGAAAGAAGATCCTATATTTTTAATAGTCCTTTAAATTCTAGTATTGAATGTAAATCGAACATGTCTCCATAGCGCAGTGCGTAGAGTTTCCGACCACGAACCGAGGATCCAGAGTTCGAATCCGGGTCAGAGCAAAGACTTTTTAATTTTATTTTCGTTTATATTCTGATAGTAAAGTATTAAATATTTGTTTTTTTTGAATCACCAGAATTATTTAATACTTTACTATCAGAATATAAACTGTACTACTAAAAAATATAATAATTTTAATTGTATTTGTCTGATGATGCTCGTATATGAGCGAAACACGTGTAACAGTTTAACATTGTATAAACGTTGAGACCGAGACTTTGAGTCTTTTTTCTACTTTTTTAAGTAAGCATTGAAGATTAGAGGTGATAAGCTGCATCCTTGTCGCAACCCTTTTGTGGTATTTATTGGATTGGATAGCCTGTGTCCTATCTTAACGTACGCTTTATTTTCTTTATAGAGCTCTTTTATTATCTTAAAGTAGGGGTCTATCTACTTCTAAAATATTCAAGGCTTCCCATATCTTGTTGCGAGGAATAGAGTCGTACGCTTTCTCCAAATCAATAAACGCTAGATGGACTTCTTGATCTACTGCTATCTTTTTTTCCATCACCTGCTGTAGGACAAAGAGGTTATCTGTGCAAGATTTCCCCGGTGTGAACCCGTTTTGATCTTCCGAGATTTTGTCACCAATATTATCTCTGAGCTTACCCTGCAGAACTTTTCCAAAAAGCCTGCTTACTGAACTGTTAATGCTGAGGCCTCTATAACAACCGGGGTCGTTGCGATTTCCCTTTTTAAAGATAGCCACTATATGAGCCACTCTCCATTCTTGGGGTAGTTTATTTTGCAGACAGCACTGGTTGAACAGCTCTGCCAGGCGCCAGCGCAATTTCTCGGTCCCACACTTTAACAGTTCTACTGCAATGTTACCAGGACCTGGTGACCGTCCATTTTTCATTTTTTTTGAGACTTATATGTACTTCTCTTTCGCTGATCGTTAAAGTGCCCGCAAGGTTGTCTTCCTCTTCTGCAGATTGGAATTCTGGTCGGTTTTCTGTTAGTAATTCTGCATAGTAGTTGCGCCATTTTTCTATATCAATTTTATTCAAGAGCTTGTCCGTTTGATTGGTTTTCATTTGTCGGATTGTTCGCCAGACCTCAGTACTCCGTGCGCCCCCTAATAGACTTTCCACTTGCTGACATCTTTCCCACATATCCGTTTTTCCTATCTTAATAGCGGCTCGTACCTCTCTGTTTTTTTGCTTGTAATGACCCCAGTTAGTCTCTGTTCTGTCTGAGAGCCATTTTTGATAGAATTTTTGTTTTTCATTTATTAAGGTCTTTATGTTGTCAGTTATCCAGGCTGGTTCATCCCTTTTCTGCTGCATGTTCTGTTCACCTAACACTTGAAAGGCTACTTTTTTAATTAAGGTTTTTAAGTTAGTATACTCTATTTCTACATCACTACAGGCATTCACTTCCTCTAGGGCTCCATTTAATCTTCTTTGGTACAGCCATTTAATACTGACATCGTGTAGTAAGTGAAGCTTGTACTTAACACGTTCAGATTCCTCAATTTCCAGTTCTTGTGATTCTGTATGTTCAATACTACTGGCTCTGATTTGGAATGGTACTACTAATTCTGCAACAACCAACCGGTGGTCGGTCAGTTACAAATTAATACAGTTAAAAAATCGTCGATAAATACCGCAATGTAAATTCAATGTTTTACTTCGTAAGTTTTAAATTTTGAAAGTTATAATTGAATTTTTTTTCAAACTTCAGAAAAGTATTAATTTTTGTGACGTGACTGATAACTTAAAAAAATAATTTTAACGCCTAGGCATAAAAATAAAACACTTTTACGCCTAAGCACAAAAGTACGAAAATATAGTGAAAATATATTATTAAACTGACATAAAGTGTCAAATTCAACGAGCGTAACCATAGTTTCTCGATACATAATTACTTTCAAGGTATTACTTTTAAATATTTTTATAATATTCGGAACGTTTCAAATTGTTTAAAAAAATGATTTGTGGCGTTTGAAAAAAATAGCATTTGGAGTAAAAATTATTTTTTGCCCCTAGCCTGTAAAAAATTATGACGTCCGGATTTTGCCGGATTTTTGGGAAGGCTTGCCCGGGGTGGACAAGATTTCATCTGGTAACCCTATATAAGAGTTATAGGAGTCTCTTTCGTACTGAATCGTACTGAATGGAGTGAAAACTTTTACATGATTTTACTGATTTTCGCGCTTCACTTACCGCCGTGATATTCTTGCGGTTTGCAATCCTCTAAAGATATCCTGTTTTTGTATCTAAAGTAATTGCAGTCTGATATTCTTTTACTCTTCCAGCCTAAAATTGTATCTTTCAGATAGTTTAGTTTAACTGATTGTGTTCCTTGGTTATACTGGGTGAGTATTAAATAATGCACATATTTTTAGAGCTGGTAGATTCTGATTAAAAAACATATTTTCTCTTTACCATTTTTCAAACAAGAACCAAGCCCAAAATATCCCAGTTATTTTACTTCTCTACGTATCTCTGAATTTTGAATATATTCAAAATGTGTTCCTGGGACCAAAATTTACCACCCCTAAAAATATGCACTCATGACTAAACTAATTATACAAAATGTCTATACCTATGTGGCGGATTCATCTCTCCAAAAAAATCCTTTATGAGTATTTCGCCACTGCACTGCAAGAAAATCTACAAAATAAAATAGTTATTTTTTATAAACACTTCTGCGTTAAACCTAAACGGACACTGCTAATACACTTAGATCCATTTTATCACATACTAAACCAATGAATACAGAACAACAAACAAAAAATGTAATATACCAAATACTATGTGAATGGGATAAATTTTACATTGGTGAAACATCTAGACCCTTAAATGTTAGAATTAAAGAACATAAAAATTGTTTAAGAAAGGGAGATTTTCACAAATCTAAGATTTGTCAGCATTCGTGGAACACAGGGCACAGAATAAATTTTAATAGCGCCTAAAGTACAATGAAAGAAGCGATAGCCCCTAAAAGAAAAATAAAAGAGGCTTTTTTAATTCAATCTCATAAAAATAAATGTATTGCCCATGCATCTGTAGATGTTAGTAATGTATGGGAATCGCTCTTTGATTTTAAAGAACATAACATACGTAAAATTTACAAATAATCATACAGACAGTTTGGGGCATTTTGGTTTTACCTTATTAAGTAATTGTTATCAGGTAGTAATTGTTAATTGAAGTTTAACTTGATATAATGTCATTTTAACAGAACGTCAACGGTTTCTTGTAGACGTATCTGTTTTAAAAAAGTAAAGTGTTCTCGAATAGTTGAATTTAAATATTATTTTAAATAGTTTTTTTCTTATTCTTTGTATTTTTGTTTCTTCCGACGACGGAAAGCAATAAACTTTCCGAAACGTTAAGCATTTTTTTCTTTGTTAGGCAAATTTGTATAAATCTAAACATAACTTCTGACAAGCAGTGTCTGTTTAGGTTTAACGCAGAAGTGTTCAAAAAATTTACAAAAAATAACTATTTTATTTTGTAGATTTTCTTGCAGTGCAGTGGCGAAATACCCATAAAGGATTTTTTTGGAGTAATTATACCCAAGTTATCTTTACAAAAATATAAAAAATATAACCATTTACTCCGAATATAAAACTGTTTGGTTCCAAATTTTCTTTTAAACTTAACTTAATTACATATTATTAATAGAAGAGTTAGTTAAGTTTACCTGTTAAGCTAAGACACAACGTCCATATTCCTCCATGCATCGGTACGAGGAAAGCTATCGTGCGGTCCCGCATATCGTTCGTGGAAACTCGCGCTACGGTACGATCGAGTAGCCACTGTAACCTGACACTTCCATTGGCTAGGGTTTCAAGTTTGTCCATGTCCCACGTCACCTCCTCCCAGTGGTCCGTCATGATGGCTGCGCATAACATTCCGGTCGCGCAGGTTGTAAGCACCAGTGTACCTAAAGTTTGGAAATTTAATAATATGTTTTATCCACGACTCGTCTATAATTTGATTATTATACATAAGTTTATGAAAAAATAGTAATATTCATTATTCAACTAGTGAATAAAGGTTGCATTATTCACCGGCTTTCACGGATATCTCGATCCACACTCCAAACAAGAGCTGTCAAACATTACCATTAATAATCAATAAATTGCGTTTTAATTAGTTAAAGCTAAATTAGGTAGCTACCTAGTTAAAGAAGATTTCAATGTTTTGTTTCCATGTTACTTACTCGTTATACTCGTTCAATATTATATAATAAACATTAAAAATAAAAATTTATATTAATATTATCTAAATTTTTTTGAATATAGTATTCTACTCGCATATAATGGCTGTTATTCACTTGGATGATTTATGACACTCGCCTGCGGCACGTGTCATAAACTTCATCCGCGTGGATAACAGTCACCATTAATATGCTCGTTGAATAATATACTATTATCCACGACTCATCTATAATTTGATTATTATACATGAGTTTATGAAATAATAATAATATTCATTATTCACTAGCGAATAATGGTTTCATTATTCACCGCTGCCACGGATATCTCCATCCAAACTCCAAACAAGAGCTGTGCTTGATCCAAACCGGTTTGGAATGCGATTGTACGCCCAAAATAAAAAACAACGGTGGCTATGAAAGCATTGAAATGCCACGTCACGTTGCATTGTCACGCTGTTGTGGTTGCTATTTTTTTGACATTAAAAATAAAAACTTATATTAATATTATCTAAAAATTTTTTATAGTCCTGGATATAGTATTCTGCTCGCATATAATGGCTGTTATTCGCTTGGATGATTTATGACACTCGCCTGCGGTTCGTGTCATAAACTTCATCCGCGTGAATAACAGCCACTATTATATGCTCGTTGAATAATATATTATTTTCTGATACTAAGTTTTAATCTAAAGCTAATTAGCTAATCTCTCGCTAACCATGTGAATAAGCAGGGGATTAAACAGTTTTATCCACGACTCGTCTATAATTTGATTATTATACATGAGTTTATGAAATAATAATAATATTCATTATTCACTAGTGAATAATGGTTTCATTATTCACCGCTTCCACGGATATCTCGATCCAAACTCCAAACAAGAGCTGTCAAACATTCAAACATTACCATTAATGTACATTGCAAAAACATTGAAAGATTTCAATGTTTTGTTTCCATGTTACTTACTCGTGATATTTTTTTGACATTAAAAATAAAAATGTATATTAATATTATCTAAATTTTTTTGATAGTCCTGGATAAAGTATAGTATTCTACTCACATATAATGGCTGTTATTCACTTGGATGATTTATGATAAATAACCTTATACAACAACATAAACTTTATCCGCGTGAGTAACAGCCACCATTATGTGCTCGTTGAATAATATACTATTAATCACAGCCTATTCATTAGACGGCTAGTCGATTTATGGTCATTTAATGGAATTTTGCGTACCTACTTAGATATCGCTTATCTTATGATATTAAACAAGTCGGATTCCGAAACCCAATTAAGCTCCGTTTATGAAAACTATGGAGACTGGTACTCTGACCAAGCTTGTCATAGGACAAATCCGCAGACTTGATCTCTCAGATTAGATTGGTGTAAAAAACGAAGGATAAAGTCGGCGCGGACTTATAAAAATGATCCTACACGCAACGGTATCTGAGAGACTCTCTGAGAACTCTACAGTCCTTCGATTCAGTCCAAATCAACGTGTAGTGGCGGCTTCGATAAAAATCTTATCGAAGAGATCGGCGGGAACTGTACTATACTATAGACTGACAAAATTATCTATATATATATATATATATATATATATATATATATATTTATATTATATATATTTACAAAATCTGAACGTGTAGTATGAAAGCAACGCTATTGATTTGGTCTTAAGAGTCTATTACGCTGTACTTTCGGGTCGCTCTCAGGGGTCGGGTAAAGCGGGTGTGTGGCTGAAGGAAATATATATTATATTTCAAAAATCTGACTAAGGCTTAGCGCGATCTTGTCGTGTTAAGCTACACCTAAAATTCCAAACACACGTGCTTTCATTAAGGCTTGATTAAGGTTTGCAGAGCTTCAGCATTTGCCATAGAAAAGCGAGCAATTTGTTACAAAACCATATAAATTATATATTACTGTAATCACAAAACTTCAATCTATTTCCGTATTGTAATGGAATTTTAAATTATGTCATTATTTTCGAGAAAATTTAGTCCAAACATAAGGAATATTTTGTTGAAAATTTTCATGGTCATACAGAAAATTTTAAAAGTTGTCTAAAAATGTACCACAATACGGATCCTTTATTAGATAGTATAATCCTTTATCTAGATAGTATAATCCTTTATCTTTAATTTCCTTCTTTATTTGTGTAAAAATACCTAGTTTTACATAAAACGTTAAATGCCGAACGCTTATTTTGCTACTTTTTCAGACTAGTGAGACTGGACTCTTATGAGAAACGTGGACTCTTATAATTTGAACTGTGCGATTTGGCATCCAGATCGTATCCTTACGTGAAGGACCGTTTTATGTCGACAGGCCAAGTTCGCCGACCAAAATACGAGAGTTTTGATACGTGACAGGCCAAGTCCGCGGACCAAATCTTCTGGTATATGGGGGACTAATGACTTATGTACGACAGAGATTGCTAATAAAAGTCGAAAACTGTCATGTTGGCTGCTTTAATTAGTTTGAAGCCAATGTAAGTGTCTGCCCTAACTTACCCAATAAGAAAAACACACTGGGATGCACGCTACAATTCCAGCTCGCCTCTTCGCCGTCTTCCGTTGCTGCGACGTTGTCGTTGGTTGCGGTCGCCCCCGCGGCGTTGCCGTCCATCGGCGGCGGGTCGCAGTCGACGATGAGCAGGTCGTAGTCGCCCAGGCCGCCCTTGTACGAGGTCAGCGCTCGGCAGCCGCCCCCTCCGCCGGCCCGGCAACTCACAAAGCGCGCCAGGCCTTTCGGGGCGGCCCGTACGAACGTCGTCGTGCGTCGGGTCGGGGCGCGGGGAACGAACGTCACAGTTGGCAACGCTGCAAATGAGAGAATAAATAAATATTTAGGAAACAAAACAAATTTTCGCTATAACAGCCTCTATACTACATCCGAATTAAGCCGCAGTAGGTCATGGTCTAATACCAAAGAGCACTATTTTGATTGAAGAAGATGCGCAACTTATGGGCGATTTCGTGGCACAAAACCTGTCCGAGATGTAGCTAGCGTCACCGCCACCCTGCCTGTTCGACATTTAGTTTGGCTCTGCGCTATTGTGCGTGGATAGTCACTTACAGCGCAGCGGATAAAGGATACTGAACCCAGCGTTGCCAATGGTCCAAAATTATATTCCACGGCGAACATACCCAAATTCCACAAAATTCCACAATCACTAGCCAGGTTCGGCCTTTAGGTCTGCGACCAATCCGACATTTTTTTTATATAAACCACGTGATCTTAAAGGGATTTTACATTATATAGTGACGTGTGATATGTGATATGTCGAAAATTTCGTCGGATTGCTTGCAGATCTAAATACCGAACCTAGCTGCTGACCTCGACGGTGACGCTCTTTTTACAGAAATCTGTAAAATTATGATGAGTCCTATAATGTTTTTTTTACTATTAGCTAAATAAGGGAAAAAAAGAAAAAAAGGAATAATTCCGAAAATTCCACAAAGTTCCACATTTATTCTATTCCACAAACGTTCCACAACATTATTACGAATTCCACACATTTTGTGGAATTCCACAAAGATTGGCAACGCTGACTGAACCGTACTTCTGCTGTCAGTCAACAGAGTGAATGGTAGCCGGATACAGTGTTGCCATAACTACTGATTAATCCGTAGATTTACGGATTTGGGTATAATACGTTAATAATACGGATTTTCTATTAGACAATTTAATATAATATTATATGATTAAACAAAGAACGGCGTCAGAGCTGGCTTGGAAATGAAGATCGTTGTTATTTCATATGTAAAATATTATGGTAAATGTCAATAATTCGTCATTTCCAAGCCATTTCAAAACTATTTTTTTCGATCATACAACATATTCAGTACCTATAAAAGAATGTTTATTTATTACTAATAAAATCCAATTAAAATGGACAAAGCTGGTTTTTCCCGTGTAGTCTTCAAATTATGTTGTTTTGGAATTTATGCATTTATACGAAAATGAGCCCTTCATATGGTTGGCCAAACATAAAGAACATAGAAATTGTATTGCAGTGTACAGTAAAAGAACTTAAAAAGAAAAAAGAATCACTAGCAACGATAATTTCGGAACGACCGGTATCCATGGATGCGCCTGTACTGTTTACTTGCCAAGGATTTGGTTTGGTTTAGTAGTAACGCACATATTGGCGTACTTGCCAAGTAGGCGAGTCGTGAAAGTCCGCCTTTAGTGTTTGTGCAAAAAAACTCAAACATAACTGGTACCGAAGCAAAAATCGGTATAATATTTTATCATAATGTGGCATCAGAAATTATATTGTATTGAACAACATAAGTTTATATTTTTTGACATCATTTATGTTTTGATTCTAATAAAGCTTTATTCAGAACCTCGAAATCAGCGGAATAAATTAGTGGTTTTAATTAGCATAGAAGTTTGTTCACCTAATTTTAATGTAAGCATTCAGAACGTCATAATTAGTGGTAGTTGGAAATAGTTAACAACCTTTTGACTTTTACACTATTTATACATAAGAAAATGCGAGGAATGTAATTTTGGCATTTGATCATCACCCGTCAAGAATAATTTTCAGAAATCAAAAATTTTATTGTTATATAAGCTAAATATTATGCTTTCTCTATGGACACAACAAATTACCGCAAGCTATTGCTAGGATATTTTATTAATATTAATTTTGTTTTTTAGACATTGTGAATGATCGTAAACTAAAAAGTATAAAGTGTAATTAAAACACATTTATTCTACTAATTGGGAGGTTCTGAATGAAGCTTATAATTCAAAACTCAAAAAAAACACATAGTTTTTTTAGTTTTCTTTTTTTGTGTGTATATTAAGTAATTCAAGTTAAAATTTATGGCACGTGATTTTTTTATAATCTTCGGGATATCCGATAGGACTTGGATAGGACAAAATGGGCGGGCGCATTGTTTGTTTTGTAAGCGAGGAAAATTTATTTTAGCTGGGCTTTTAGGAACTGGATCAATATTTGTTTTTAGTCGGAAAATCATATCGATTCATTATGACGATAAAAAGTCCCATTATGTACTTCTACTGAAGTACATTTATTTAGATATTACATTTTTGATACTTATGAGAAAATATTATAATTCTGTGTACATAATTCAATCAGATGCAAAAACACGAAACAGAAAAAAATTTCGTCAAATTTAAAGTTTTATATTTTTTTTTATTTTTGCCCAATTTTCTTAATTTTTTGAGCAAACTGTATATAAATATATCAACTTTAATTCGTAAACTCATTTTTTTATAAACTTTATAACAACCTACATCGACAATACTTCAAAGTAAACTAAATCAAACGATTACTCGTCGCTCGCTACTTGCTATTCATCACCGAAATAATATGTGCTCAGCGCACGCAACTTACTGCTTGACGCTACGAGTTGCAAGTACAAACGACGGGCGAAAAACCGTATTCGCTCGAGTATTGAAATCGCTTGAAACTCGAGTACTCGATTATTGAAATTAATCGGGTTTTCCCATCACTAGACATAATACCATATTAATGCCGCATAAAGGTACGCGGACACTGACCAGAACCGCATCGACCGAAGAAAAATATTGTTTGTGTTACTTTCAATGAAGGCGCGTACACTAGCCAGAGCCGCATGAATCGCATCGACGAAAATGCGGCCAGCATTGTTGGGCCAGAATGATTTTCGATAAATGCGGCTAGTGCTGCTGACGTCACATGCAATTCCTTCCACTCTACGTAGGTAGCCGAAGAGGAGAAATTCAATAGGTATGCTAAGAAAGCAAATTTTTCATGGCTCATTTTGAAAAATGTTTGGTTCATCCTCAATTAAATATGGAAATAATGTGGATTTTTGCAAATATTGTGAACCTATAACTTTCGATTCTTTCTCGTGATTTCTTCTTCTTCTATTAGCAAGGAGCTCATAATTATTTCTTGTTCGTTGTTATTTATTGCCGAGAAATATTAATAAACACGCTTATCACCGCAGACAGGACTCCGGAATCGACTGATGAGAAATTCGATTGGAAAATACGAGTGTAGTAGGGACAAAAAGAAACAAAATAGCGAATAATGCGGCGCGTTCGGTACGGCACAGTGTGCGCGACAAGAAAAAAAGTGCGATTCGTGCGGCGAGTGCGGCGCTGGTCAGTGTGCGCGTACCTTTAGAGCTCTATAAATTACGACATTTTATCCTTACTTATGTATTTTCAATACACCGAATATGTTTTCTAATTTGTCTCTTTATCTAATGACATTATTTAAATGATTACTAACAAATTAAAATTAGCTATATCGATCCAGTACACCGTGGTTCGTAAGTAATCCAACGCAACATGCAGCATTCATTTCATTTTTATATTTTTATTCATACAGGTTATTAAATAATATGCATTCATTATTTAGTATTAATGTAAATTCCATTGATTTTTTACGGCAAATTTATAATTTTATTCAAATTTATACAATAACTCATTCATATGTCATGGTTAGACAAAAGATTATCATATTTAACACGCAGATAGTTCTGTCGGTGTCGTATTGCATTACTTTTTCTTAGGTCCTTGAAAAGGATTATTATAGATTATTGACGTTTCACATTAAGGTAAATTAAAACTAGGGCATCTAAGTAGGCCTTCGGAGCAATGCTCTTTTGTTTTGTCATCGCAAATGCACGTTCATTTTGTTTTTGATACCAGTAGCTCTGAATAATTTACTTTTTCATTTAAGGTTGTGTTACAATGATATATGACGGTTCATGATTATATAGGAATAGGAAAGATCAGTATATTATTACTTTCTTTTTACACAATACTATGCTGTACATGTTATGTTTTTGTGAGAAGGGCAACAAACATAATAATGTTATATATTAGCATATTAGATTGTATTATTATACAGGGTGTTTCAAAAAACATGTGCCATCTCTCGTAGGGAGATTCCTCACGTAAAAATAAGATTTGTTTTTATATATATATATATATATACGTCCGATTCTGCTTTATTTCGTAGCTACAGGGTGTTAAAGACTTAATATTTTTTCGATTTATTATAATTTTCTTCCAAGTACTTTTAGCATTTCGAATGAAATTTTGAGGATAAAAGTTAGGTTAGGTTAGGTTAGGGTAGTACACAAAGGATCAGAGATTTGGCCGTCAGCCACTTTTTCATTCTACGCTAAAAAGCAAATATATAGCAAAATAAATAATATAGAGATACCAAAAAATACATATATTCTAAACCCGATAAAAAATTGAAGACTATAATAGAAAAACAATAATAATTATAGTTTAACAAAAAGAGAAAAATATCGACTAAAAACGAAAACTAAACAAAAAAGGACTGTATATTATATTCAACAATGTCATATATTTATAAGTATTGACACTGACAAATAAACGAAATTTATAATGTTTATTAAATCATTTATATATCTATCGAAGAGAGATAGATAGATCCTATCTGTAAAGTATCTGATGTGTCTCTCTATATGATCTGTCATACTAAGTATATCGATACCAAATAAACTTTTAATTTCGTCATTGAGGGAGCGATTATTAAATTCATTATTGCCAACAATGGACATATTCGACGCGGGGCTGACTAACTGGAATTTAAATTTCCCGCTGGTGATTTAGGTGGTAGCTCTGCTGTAAAAAGTGTCATGTTGCCATATTTATTTATTGATATTTTGATTATTTTTGACAGTTTAGTTTTGTATTACGAGTTTTCGGTTTTAGCGAATTGCGTTGTGATATTTTAAGCTTAAACTGTTTTGTAACTATAAGTTTTAAGTAAATTCGATGAAGAAAATAAAGATTCCTATATAAATTTATCCCC